GTGGATGGTCCCAACAGAAGCGTTCCTTAGCGTCCCCATGTTTGGTCCCCCCTCTGTTGGGGTACCTAGCACACAGATGTGGTACTAAAAGGTGGAGCTGTGAACACTGCAGTCTGATTGGTCAGTAGAGGACGGTCACTCTGCTCAGGGCTGAGTTGTGTCTGGTTTTGAGGCTCATGTAACCACTGTTCATACTGTGGAGAGTTTTATTAGTAAACTCTAACTATAAAATGAAAGGATGTTTTGCTGCCTCTCACAGCAGCTGGAGTCTGAGAAAAAATAACTTTATTCACCGACTGCCGGTGACTTTTAAGGTGGAACGTGTATTACTTATTTTACTTAATTTCAACCAAATCCTCACTCTGAGAAAAAAAGCACGGCAGTGTCTTTCCTGTGGGCTACAGCAACACTAAACCCCTGAGCTTGCCTGAGAAGGACTAAATGCACAAAGCTGCTATTTTTAAATATCCCATGGAGAGAGACTCTCACTGCAGCCTGTTCTTTTTTGTTTTGAAAATGTTTGCGTGCAGCCTCGTTCTGTGGACGATAAACCAGGTGCAGACTGACGAAGGAGGAAATACAGTGAGTGCTGGACGGAGCAGTGAGTGACAACAACCCCGCCCACATTCAAGAGGACTGTTTGGGGTGGAAACACTAAACGGACCGAGGGTTTAGGTACCATGTTTGAAGGGTTACTGTTGGTTCCAAAGGTACTATACCAGAAGTGTTTGGTGGAAATGGGGCTTATGTTGTTGCAGTTCGTACTGGTCAACAGTAGAGGGAGATAAACTAGGGCTGGACAATGTGGCAAAAAAAACAATAACACAATAATTTTATCCATATTAATTAGGCTTGTGCCGATTTCCGGTTCGGTCCGGTTTAAAAGCTCCACCCGGTTTAATTCACGTGAACCAGATAAACCAGGTGGGGGTGGGGGGGAGCTTTTCACATCAGCAGCGTGTCAAGGGACTATATTCAACTTATCTTGCATTGTAACATGCATTATGACAACTTAATAAGGTTTATGTATGTTTTTAAATGAAGTGGAGGAGCCTACAAGTGTTTTGTTTAGTTTGTCTCAGAGGCTTCAGAGGGACTCTGCAGCTCCGCTCAGCTGTCTGCTGCGAGAGAGGTGTCCTTCTGCTTCTTCTTGTGTAACCTTGTGTGTATTGGCGGTTAATACAGCATTATCGCCACCTAGTGGATTGGAAGCACATTACACCTATAATAGGCTTTTATTGGGAAAAATAGCTCAAATGCGACCCCCAGTGGTAAAATTAGCTATATAATTCGATATATTGGTTCAGTTAGATATTTGGCTTTAAATCAAACCGGTTGGAAAATTTTAAAACCAGCACAAGCCTAATATTAATCCATATCAATTTTTATCACAATATGTAATCTAAGAATGCTGCCAGTTTGAGTCAGACTTCATTTTAAGTTACAACAGTAAGGAGAGTTGACAGACATGACGATGGCGGAGGACTTGGTGTCCAAGTGAAAGGCAAAAGCTCCAATTCGGCAATATTTCATAAATAAACCCACTGCTAACAAGGAACCTGATAACCTTAATGAGTCAAGAGGAGTTGGATACATCTCTGAGAAGTTGGTGTACAGCCTGACGCCTGCAGCTCTTCATCTAACTCCTGACTGTTTCTTCACTTCCATTAAATATTTCAAACTCCTCCACTGTCAGTGAAATGCTGAAAATTACCATTTGTTTTGTTTTGTACATGCATTCTGGATGAACGATAGCGGTAGTGCTAATCTAACTGACCAATACATTGCATTTCAAATGACTACCGCATAATGAAAGTCAACTCGTGTTTTGCAGGCTAAATACCTTGAATGTGAAGCTGCAGCAGTGGGAAATGTTCAGTGTGCATTCACAGTAACTTCATGCAGGGCATTACAGATATTAAACATGCTGACGATTATCTTTTCTTGTAAAGTGTGGTGGTTGGTAACCTGTTGGAAAATTTCCTCACCGTGGCATCCCTGTCTATGTGCTCAGGTGATAAGACGTAATATACGCTTAATTAACGGTGGGTAAAACTTACTAGGGGCCTGAGTCCACAATATTTTTTTTCTGAACACTGGCATCTTATTATAATTGTTCTCAGTAAGGAGAGAATGTGTGCAGCCACCTTGAGAAAAAGCGCCACACCCGGTGTCTTATCATAGTGCTCCAGCTTTTTTGTGGGGTCACTATCAGCACTTCCAGTTGTGTCCATCTGTGAACTTTTCAGAAAAGTTGGTGGTGTCACTGCAGCTTCTTTGGCTACTGTATGATATGTCAGACAGAAACTATCACAACAGAGAGAGAAAAGTTTTGTGCTTCTATCACCATACATGTTGTAATACAGCGGGTGGTTAAGTGTAGCGTTTTCCTCTGTGTTCCCAGTGAGGAGAGAGCGTATGTGGCTGCCTAGACAAAAAGCGCTGCACCCAGTGTCTCACTTCAGGGTGCTACGACTAATTCCTACAGCTGCTCTGAGCACTTCACTAGAAAATTTCTGAACTTTTCAGAAAAGCTGGTATCGTCACTTGAGCTTCTTTTCAGGCAACCAATTATATATTAGATGGGGCAGGACTAATCACCTTGGCAACCAATATAATGGAAGAGAGTTTTATTGTAGCCTTGTCGTGTCTATCCTAGGCTGCATGATTTGTCAGACAGAAACAACAAAGGCAGAAAAACCCATCTGTGGAAGCAGACCGGCCGCACTATGAATGTGAGCTGCTGAGTTTTGTGCTTTTATCACCATACGTGTGGTAATACAGCGGTAGTTAGTGGTACATGTCAAGATATTGTTGTCATAGAAACAAAATCCATCTCTGGTCCCAGGGAGAGCCTTTTTGATGAAGCCCTGCCAGAGCTTTTCAGCCAGAGAAAACACTAAATGGACGCAAACCCTTAAAAGCTCTACATCCAGCAGCAAACTGTACACAACGGTGGTTCAATTGTAAAGAAACAATACCTTCTTCCTAGTAGATAAAACATCTTGAATCCACCACAACGGATTCAGAGAAGAGTGCGCGCACGCACACACACACACACACACACAAATACACACAAAATGACAGCGTGTTACCTGCAGACTGAAGGCCTTCTTTATACTTGGTGTTGGTAGTTTGAGAACAGGTACAGGAGCTGGAGGAGCTGCCACCCTGCTGGGCTCCCGCTCTGCTGGAGGAGTTATCTGACAGGAAGAGGAGGGACAAAACACACATGTATCTCTCTCTCTCTCTATTCCAAGGACATCTGCACAAAAGGAGTTTTCACTAGAGCTTTGCGATAATACTTGTTATTAGAGCCAATAAGAGGCTTCAAATGAATTACTGTAAATGCAGAGTTAATTTTTGATTTATCAATGTTTTTCTAAAAAATGTAAAAAATAAATAAATTAGAATTTAGTGACGCAATCAGATCTGTTCATCTTTCCCTCCATCTTTCTACCTGTGTGAAAGGTTGAGCGATGGGAGCGGCCATCTTGTCTTTCCTTGGCCGTCCCTTCTTCCTCTTCTCCACCACCTCTCCTCCGTCCATCAGCAGCTCAGGTTTCCTCTTGCTGAACGTCAAGTTTTTGTTGATGGTGGCCATCTTGTCCTCGCTGTCGCTGCTGGTGTCTTCTTTGGTTTTTACGTCTTTCAGGGCGGAGATGCCGTCTTTCGGTCTGCTGGACGAACAAAAAGGTTAACATTTTGTTTTAGAGACAGTTTGTCCTCTTTTCTCACTTTTGAATCAGTGCTTCTTCACCTGTCTAGAGGCGTGAGTCCAGCAGTGGAGGAGATGGCAGCTGTGACACCCGGCGTGGCCTTTGACCTCTCTGTGAACCTTGAGTCCAAAGCTTTCATTGGCTCGATCTTGGAGGCAGACGTGAGCAGCAAACTGGACTTCACACTGTAAAATAAAGAAATCAGAAAGTAGGAGATGAGGGGGTGACGGAAGGTTAGGAAGTCAGTACAAACAGTAAAATAGAAAACTAAATTAAAAGCTTTCTCTCAGCAGGTCATACCCATCCTTGTCCTCCAAGCCCTTGGCGGTGCTGTTGGGTGGAGGCGAGGTGAGCATGGAGTCGTGGCTGGGCCTGAGCCCCAGAGAGGAGGCCTGTCCTGGGCTGGAGTCAGAGCTGAGCTGAGAGGTGAGCTGGTTGGACGTGGAGGAGCCCGAGGGCAGGATGGGAGCGCTGTTGAACAGAGCTGGCGAGAAATCCCTGCAGAGACAGAGGGACTATTTGGTTGTGCTTTCTCTATTTGCAGTGTTTTTTTTTCTTTTATAAATGCTGTGCATGAGTTGTCAAATTGGTGAAGTTGTTTCCTTAATTCGCAGTGCGCTGAGCTCTCAGGGCCACTGTAGTGTTTCATGTTTTCCTACCCGGTGTCCAGCTGAGCGATGCAGAGCGGTGTGATCCGTCTTCTGCCATCTGCGGTTCTCGTCTCCACCTGCTTCTTCAAAAGGTTCTGCAAGCCGGAGAAATAACACATCCAAGGAATTTAAGCTCCAAAAATGTCAGGAAAAGTATTTGTTTTGACAGCTTTTGAAAACAGAGCTCTAAAACAGTGGTCATAAATATTTATCCAATACATCACTGATATCTGAATATGTGTGGTTTCCAAGTTCATCTAAATCATTTGCTCTCCTGTGTTTGACTTGTATTTCTAAAACTGTTTTATCTTGTGTCTCTGCAGCTGTCCTCTAAATATCTAAATATAATCAGTTAAAACAAATGTGTCTTTTCCTGCAACCTGAATCTTGAAATACAGCAAAATTTCTATATTAAGAGTCTGAAACTCCTGCATTTTTTCATGTGCATTTATTATTATTTATTATAAAATGTGGTGAGTTATGTTTGACCACAAATAGGTGTCTAACTCTTTGTCCTGAACCAAACCAACACTCTTCTGCTTCCTGTTCCTTGTTACATTTCAGTGTCCCACCTTCCTGATGTCCTCCAGAGACTCTCCGTTCATCACACTGTTGAGTTTGGGGGCTGAGGATTCGGGCCCTGCACTGCCCGGTCCTGAGCTGGCCTGGGCCGAGTTCTGTCGCTCCTGCTGGTATTTGAGCATCTCGGGGTTCTCGATGATGGTGGTGGAGAGCTGAGCCTCAGTGCTGGTTATAGCCAGACTCTTACCGTAGATGTTCTGATGGATGCTGTTCTGTACGACAGAAAAAGAGAGGGGCGAAGTTTGATCTGGCTTCTTAATGTTCTTGACAGAATTAAAGAATAAGGTTGTGTTTTAGTATCTTTGTGTTGGAGTGACAGTGTCCAATTATAAGACAACCAGGAATTGTCAACATAAATCACATGACTCAGGTGTTTTGGTTCTTACAGTTGCAAAGTCTTAAACTTATATAACAACAGCCTGTTCTGCTTTTCCTTTGTTCACACAAGGCCACTTGCAAAAAAAGCTTAATTCAAGACAAGTATTGATCCAGACTTCATCTGTTTTTTTTTGCCAGCTTTTAAACACGAGGAATGACTGGATAACAGCTTAATATTTGTCCTCTCATATAGATGAACCCTTGTGTTTGGTAGATGTTTAGAGTACGTTCCAATCTTTAACAAAATGAAATGTAGTTCTCTTGGAAGAAAACAGAGAATTAAACTTTTAGGCAACACCAAGACACATATTTATTACATTCTGTTTCCTGCAAGAATTTTTTTTAACAGGCAAAAGGAAAAAAGGAAAAGGACAAGCAAACGCAGTGAAGTTGACATCATGTGATTCCATCGTGTGCGTCTAACCTTCTCCTCCTCGTTCAGTGGATCCCCCAGTTCATCCAGTGAGAAGTCCAGGTAGGCTACCGTGCCGTCCATCGAACACACCAACATGCCCAGACCTGTCAGAGTCCTGACACACAAACACAAATCAGTGTCAGAGACGCAGAGGGTGTACCCGTGATGTCTTACTGTGCATTCACACCAAAAGCATCATGAGCGTCATAAGCGGCCGGCAGCCATTCATTTTCAGCGTACGCTTGCTACGAAGAGCGTCTGGAGCGTTGGCAGCAGCCAACAGCGCGATGCCAGCGACCGGAGCGTTACTGAAGTTGAGAGAAGCTCAACTTTATGCAAATGAGCAGCGACGCCGCCGAAGCAGCAGCCAATTGCAGACTGTGAATAATCTCAAGGTGGGACAGTGAAAGAAAGAAAGAAAGAAAGAGACCTTCTGCAGCGCAGCTTGAAAGCCCCGCCCCTTGGCAGCCTTCTGCAAGCCCTGCCAGAGCTGCCAGGCAGCGCGATGCCAGTGACCTGAGCGACCGCTGGCGCTCATGAAGCTTTTGGTGTGAATGCACAGTTACTGTTACTGTTACAGGGGATGGTGTAACAGTCATACGCAAAATACATAGTATGTAGATGAATGCATGTAATGCGGAACCAAAATTAAGCACAACATCCACCCAGAAACTTTTAACCATTAGCAACAAATGCTGAGGTTAGCACAAGGAGTCAGTCACAGTATGGCGAGCACAGATAAAACACAGCTGGAAGACCTGCCTGCACGTTCCCAGACGGCTACAACAGTAACAGAGAGACAGAGTTGTGTCGAAGACGAGGATAAATGGAAACATATTCATGCTACCGCGCATTCGACAGCATCACCCAGATGTGCCGATCACCAGGACAAGACAAAACCAAACCCAGCTCCTTATCCCTGCTGCTTCCAAGCAGCTTTAACTGAACAGGATAAAACAATTACTGAAGCAGCTGGCATTCACACTGGCACATTAGCCAAGGTGGAACTACCTGAAACACTCCTACTGCTCCTACTTGGTCTTACTGGACTCGAGCGCTGCTTTTGACACCATTGATCACTCTATCCTCATCAATCTACTAAATACAAATGTTGGTATCTCAAGGAAAGCCCTACAATGGTTCATGTCATATATGTCAAATAGACGTTTTTCTGTCTCCATAGGTAACTACATGTCCTCGTCCACTCCGCTGTTATATGGGGTGCCCCAGGGCTCAATCCTTGGTCCCATTCTTTTCTCATTATATATGCTTCCCTTGGGCCAGATAATCAGTCGCTTTGGCTGTATATCCTATCATTGCTATGTGGATGACACTCAGCTATATTTTTCAGTAAAGCCAGATGATCTTAGGAACCTAAACACTCTCCACAACTGTTTAGCTGCAATAAAGGACTGGATGTCTGTCAGCTTTCTTCGGTTAAATTCTGACAAAACTGAGCTTCTCATTTTTGGCTCTGAAAATACTGCTAAAGGCATCTTTCAGCATACTGGCCCACTTACCCTCTATGTCAAAACTAACGCTAGGAATCTTGGTGTTATATTTGACCCTAAATTGAAACTTGAACAACATGTTAATGAAATGGTTCAATCCTGCTTTTTTCAACTCAGGAACATTGCAAAAATCAGACCATTATTGTCAGCCTCTGATTTGGAACATATCATTCATGCCTTCAGTTTTTCCCGTCTCGATTACTGCAACTCCCTTTTCACCTGCCTTAGCCAAGCTGACCTGTCACGTCTCCAGCTTGTACAAAATGCAGCAGCGAGGCTATTAACTAGGACTGGCTGTAGAGTCCACATCACTCCTGTTTTAGCCTCACTGCATTGGCTGCCAGTGAAGCTCAGGATTCTTTTAATCACCTATAAGGCCTTACACATTTAGCTCCTACCTATATTTCCAAGCTACTATGCCCATATACTACCGAGTGGTCACTTAGGTCTTCCAACCAAAACCTGTTGGCCATACCACGTGCCAAACTAAAAACCAAAGGTGACTGTGCTTTTGCTGCCCTGGCACCCAGACTTTGGAACGACCTCCCCACTTCCATTAGATCAGCTGAGTCTGTTGACTGTTTCAAAAAACACCTAAAAACCTACTTTTTTAGAATGGCTTACTCATAACATTCGATAAATTCAAGTGTATACTCTGGGTGATGACTGCATGCTCGCTGTGCTCGTATATGTGTGTGTTGTCTGTATGTGTTCTTGAATGTGTCTTTTATGGTCTTGGGGCCCTCTTTTCTTTGTGTCCCAATGTCAATGTAAAGCACTTTGTAACCTGTGTTAAAAAAGGTGCTAAATAAATTAAGTTTCACTTATACTTACTAATGCACAGGTTTAACTTTTTCTTATTTCATTTATTTTTTTCTCTCAGTTTCGTAGCATTAAAGACTCTTTTCAGTTTTATAGGCTGGTATTAAATGTTGCTTTTGGGAAAGTGTTCAGTGTTCGTACAGTGTTTTAAATGTTCCTTATTTTGATAATGGAAACAGTTCAGCAAAGTTGCCAGTGGGCAAAATGACACCTCAGTCCCCAGGAGGAGGATTTCGGTCTTTGTTACCTGCACCACAGTGTGTTCAAAATAAATGAAGGAAACGGATCCTTAAACATCTGGGTTTTTTCTGCTTTACTGAACTAGCACCAAACTGTGACTTCTATGTGCCGTAAAACCCCTAAAAAGATACACTCCCTCAATCAAGGACTTTTAAACCATGAAACTTTGATATTTGTAAAACTTGTGAGGATCAATGGAGTGAGATGTTACTGCACATGTGTGGTATCCCACACATTTCCCTGTTTACAACTCACCAGGAAATGTCCATAATTGATTTATCAAAGAGATCATGGATGACCACCAGGGGGCGCTTCAGAGAGGTCAGCTGAAACACAGACAGGAAACAGCATTGTCAGGAACAAAACTAAGACAGTGTGAACTGGAACACAATCTGACATTAAAAAAGCTGATAGTAAAATTGATGCATAGCCTTTATAGAAACCACCAATACCAAAAACCGTGGCAGCTCAACAGATGTTTGTTTCCGCTATACCTCGCTTCTCCACCTGCATCAGTTTGAGGTTTACATTTCTACATCTCATCAAATAATAAACTAATCGCTCAACACAAATCGGACAGTCGTTATATGTCCTGAGATGGATGGTTTCTGGGGAAGCTGTTCATACTCAACAGAACAAACACATACAAACACCATGAATTACAAAAGTGAGACAAAACAAACTGACCCAGACGGAGAGCGACCGATCTTTGCTGCCGACAGCGCAGCAGCAGTACGGACAGCCTGGTTTCGGGGCGCTGCCATTCTTCTGCTTCTTCTTAAAGATCTTTGGGTTGAATTTCTACAGAGGAAGAAAACAGATCCATCAGTGCTCAGGTTGACTTAAACGTGGCAAACATTTAAAGACAGAGCATGTGGCTAAAACGTCCTTACCACCACAGTGACAGCTTTACGGTGGCCCACAAAGTCCATGTTCGTCTTCCAGCCGTCTCTCTCCACGATCTGAGCGGTGGGACCGGAGTTGTTCATGGCATGAGCCGACACCAGATACTGACCGTCTGGAGACCAGGACAGACGCAGGACGTGGGTCGTCCCGCCGCACTGAGACACAGAGAGAGACGAGAGAAAATTATTCATCCATTCATTGGTGAACTGTGCTTGTGTTAGGACTGGCAGGAGAATATCCAGATGGGACGAATCACAAGAAAAATCTAAATAAAAGAGCAAAGACATGTAACGAGTGCATGTGTTTCCATGCAATAATGCCATAACAGTGTCGACCACCTGCTCCCACAGCATCATCAAACACAGCTGACTGTTTTTGTACCTCACTGAAGGGTTTGGTGATGTTGGCCTCCATCTGCCAGTCCACCGTCCTCCACACTCTGAGGCTGTGGTCATCCGCCTGCGAGGCAATGTATTTCCCCACCGGATCCCACGTCAGACCTTTAACCAACCCAGTGTGTCCTCGCAGACAGGTCACCATCTCTGGAGAGACACAAAGAAGACAGAGACGTAGATGAGAGAAATATCTTCCTGCTCTATCAACACATTATACAGGCAGGATTTCAAACATTCATTTATTTGTGGCGGCCCACCATGATTAAAACACCTGCCGCCACATTTTGATTTTCTATTTTTGGAGCTGGACCGTTCATTAGGAGCACTGTTGGAATATATACTGCTCAGTTATTCACTACATCCACACTCTCACTGTACGTTCACACCAAAAGCTGCCAGAGCTGCAAAGGCGACAGGTCTAATTCATTTTCAATGGACATGTGGTGACGAGAGGCGTTTTGAGCTGCAAAAGCGACGAGCGGCGGCGGTTTGGCGAATTGAACTGCAAATGAAAGTTGAAGACTGGTTAACTTTATGCAAATTAGCTATGACGCGTTTGAGCTGCAAATGACCAGCAACCAATCGGAATGTAGATGTCCATCACTTGTGTGGAACCCAGAGAACATCCTCGGAAACTTTTAGTTCCTACCACACCTTAGTTCCTACTTCAAAACAAGCAGCAAGCTGTCAAACTGATCTATGTTCAGCCTGAAGTAGCGCTGGAACCTCTCCCCATCCAGCCGCAGCTCCCGCACCAGCCGAAGATATTCCCTGTGCTGATCACAGCCCCGAAGGATATCGTGAACCCAGAGGTGACGGCGGCTACATCCACGCAGGTACCACATGGCAGCACAAATTACAATTTCTTCCATGTTGAATCGATACACAAGTGTGGACAAGCGCATGTACCTATACAATTTCTTTGTGTTCAGGAACGCTTGTTATTAGCGGGAATGCAATTCATTTGCTCTCCTTACGACCAGTTTAACTAATCACACTGTAGGCACTCGAACCCAAATCACTGACAGTGTTTCCCCTTGGTTTACAGCTTTGGGGGGGAATAACAAATCAAAAAATGTTGCTCATATTCAGTTTGGGGTCGTCCCACTTGACATGCTGCTGTGTTGTGCTACGGCCTATTCAAGTGCTGGAATTTGTTATTTATGTGACAACACCTGAACTCAACACAGGCTGTGTGTGTTTAATGTTTAATGTCAGAACTATTTAGACTTTTTATCCTGTTTTCATTGTCCAAACGTGAAAGTTTCTGTTCTCAGACAAATGCAGGAAGTCACATTTCTGTGCTCCAGCCAGTAACCTGCTTTGCGGCTCCTTTAAATTGAGAAGCATAATCGAACATTCAGAATTTGACATCATGGGGCGTCGGTGGCTTAGTGGTAGAGCAGTTGCCCCATGTACAAAGCTGTTGCTGCAGCGGCCCGGGTTCGACTCCAGCCTGTGGCCCTTTGCTGCATGTCTCTCCCTCTCTCTCCCCCCCTTTCACACTTCACTATCCTATCAATTAAAGGCAAAAAATGCCCATAAAAATATCTTTTAAAAAAAGAAGAAAAAAAAGAAAAAAGAATTTGACATCATGAGCAACTTGAGCTGCTTTTGCTGCCACAAATATTTTACTAACGGTGCTGCTAGAGCAAACTCAGCTATTTTGCAGCTCTGGTAGCTTTTGGTGTGAACGCACAGTCACAGCGTAGAGTGTACTCTGGGCACAGAGAGACTACAGCCAACTACTGCCACACATAGATTCTAATTCTGTGGAAAACAGTGGCTGATTTGTGTTTAATAAGAAAACAGGACAGTGTAATGTGCTCACTTTTGAGAAATAACACCTTAATCTGCAACTATTTTAACATTTCATCTCATTTTTATTTCAGAGACTTCAGATGCTATTTTTCAAATCTGTTTTTATTTACAAAATACCTTTCAGTGAAGGAAATATTCCCGAGCAGTTTGCGACTTATTTTACAGCTAATTCACAGTTACATTCAGACTTAACTCATAAATCATCAGATCTTCATCTTCCTAATTTTCTGACTTGTAGAGGTCAATTTTTAATAATTTAGAGGAACAAAACTGTGGAATGACTTTTTTTTCAACCTGGTAAAAACCTCTATCTCTATGAAGTGTTATAAAAAATGCCTGAAAAAACATTAAACTGCTGTTTTGTGATGGGTTTCCCTCTTCTTGTATTATTGTCCATGTTTTATTTGTTTTACTCATGTGATGTATTTTTACTATTGATCAAGGGTCAACACAATATAAACTATTATCCCCCTCATGCACACACACGCACGCACAAGCCTAATCACACTAACATCGATTTATATATCACATACTCACATTTTCCGCTCTTACATGGATATTATTATTGCTGTTTGTTTTTTTTTGTAATCAAACATAATTTGCTGTTCGAGGTTTATTGTAACTTGTGTTATTTTCTGTGTTGTTCTTTATCTTTCTGTACTTTTGAGTTCTTAACTTTGCACCTGCACTGTATTTCACTATTCATTTTTCTTGCCTTTTTTATGTTTTGATTTTGATAGCTGGTCATTTTTAAAGCAAAATGACCAAATATTTTCAAGTTCTAGCTTCTTAAATACGAAGATTTGCTGCTTTTCTTTGTCTCATGTTATAGTAGACTGAATATTGATATTTTAGTTTTAAGTTAATATTTAGATTTGAAAGTATTTGTCAGGCAAAATGAGGGACTTGATAATGTCACCTTAGCTTTTAGGATTTTAAAAAAAAAAAATTCATACAATTTTTTGTCATTTTAGACAAAGATTGCGATGCAGTGTGCAGAGAGGGTTGTCATGTCATTATGTGTAAGATTTGAAAACCTATTATTAGACAGGGTGAGCTCTGGTGTCTGCCGTCTCCTACCTGGAAATTTGCGAGCGTTCCAGATAACGATGGTGTTGTCCACGCTGCAGGATGCCAGCCACACGTCGTGAGGGGACCACGCTACGTCCATCACATCTACAAACAAAACACACACTGAAATCACTGCCTGAGTCCAGAGACATGTTACTACTTTAAGGCTCCCTGTGGAGCTTTCGTGCCATGGAGCTAGTTTCCTATCAGTGATCTTCATTTTGTTTAACTTTTGCGCTCGTATGAGGATGCATATGCACACAGTTAATGCTGGACACACTCCTGCTAATGGTTTCACATTATTCCACTGATCATCAGGTGGCCGTAACATGTCAGGAGATGCTGCAATATGCAAACAAAGGCAAGGAAGAAGATGACTGCAAGCTGTAAACATCAAAGTAAACAATGCTGATTAACAGGAGGGAAATGACACACACATGTTCTGGGGAGTAACACTGAATGTAAACATTACTTAAAAATACACTCATTAATTTATTGGTATATATGCAGAAGCTTCTACAGTATGTTTGTATGTTTGAGCATGTTGTGGATATGCTTTGTGTTTTGTGTGTGTGTTTTGTGTGTGTGTGTGTCTAACCTCCAGTGTGGTTCCTCAGGATGGTGACACACCTCCACTGCTCCACGTTGGCCAGCTTACTGCTCGACCCGAACACTGTGCTCGGGCCGATGAATCTACCGAGAAAATGCACACACGCAGTTAAAATCAAACCTTAAACATTTCATTTCTCCTGCGAAGACTTTCTGGGTTTACAGCAGTCAAAAATAATCATCTAAAAATGCAATATTCAGGCTTCCCAAACATTATACCAATGGATTTTTTTTTATGAACCTTTCCATAATATTTTACCCAGTTTCCATGACTTTACGTAAGAAGTAAAAGTTGGTGAGCCTACAACTTTACATCTCTGCACACTTCATATGTGCTGTTTGTACAAATGAAATCCATTTCCAGGTCTGGAAAACAATTCTCTTATTTAAACTTTTTCAGGAATTTCATGAGCGTAGGAACCCTGAATGTTACTTTACACATATCTATACATAGCAGACACATCGTCTGTATTTGCACATGCTGTGTTTGTTCGTGAGTGTGTTTACATACGCGGCTCTCTTCCACACCATGACCAGCTTGTCGTCTCCTCCTGATGCCAGGTACAGCCCGTTGTTGGACCAGCGCACACAGTTCACACATGCTGCAGAGACAAATATACGCTGGGGTTATAAATATAACTTGTATGGATTTGTGCTGACACAGCAGTGTGTTATGGTGGGCATTAATAGCGCCTGCAATGTAGTAGTGTAAGATGTTGCTCCTATTATTAAATCTGACTGCTGGCACATTTATTTGGAACACAATCACACTCTTCTGCTGCCGGGCACTGAGCAGCAGGAGTCGTCAGTGGAGAATAAAATGTGGGAAAAGATTCAAAGCAGCGACTCCCTCTTCTCAGACCTTTCGGCTGCTGACACTTAACTACTGTCCATAGTAAAAATACAAACAGCCGATGCAAACGTGGAGCAGGAGCGGAGAACTCCTTCTACTGCTTCAATTTGCTGACTGAAAATGACGTAAACAGCAGCAGCAGTGTGTAAAATCAGGAACATTTGGTGCCTGACTTTGTAGAAAATAGAGGTGCAGTAACTGCCTCTTTGTTTCGCTGAAGGATTTTAAAGGAGCTTTAAACTCGTGGAAATATAACGAGTTCGCTATAATTTGTAGGTCAGAATCAGTCAGCGCCAGATGGTGACAAAGTCAAAGGTACAGAAGGGGAAATACTCAATCATCAGAGTAATGTAATATATGTCATTTGGACTGGACCAAGTAGGAATTTAGTTTGAAAGAACAGACACAGGAAGTGGCAACGCTCAGCAGTCAGACAGGAGTCAGGTTACAAACCAATCACAGCCGACAGATATCTTTCCCTCTTCTGTAAATATTCTGTGTGATAAACTTTACAGCTTTACATCTGTCCCACGGACGATCAGCCTACACACTTATAAACAGCTCCTGGAAGAAGATCAGCTCTGCTCTCAGGATTTCAGGTTAATAGGCTATATGGTGCTTGTTAAGATTGCTTCGCGACCTCAGACGCAACCTGCCGGAGTTCTCTTGAAAGCTGGCACAAAAAGGTACAAGAGTAGCTCCCAGTTCCCCCTTTAGCATTTTTCAGGAGGTTATAGATGCAGCATGTGTGAGACCCCTAATTTCCAGGGCTGGTACCTGCAGTTATTCCACAGGCTAGTTAATAACATGTCGGGCAGGAAATCCAAAGTGTGGGATCATTTTGAGAAGGTGAAGGACGAACCCAAGGTGATATGTAAACTCATCTTCATTGGTCGACTACAAACATGACGTATCATCTGAAACATGGAAGTAGCTACATGCCCATTAGCCCACAGCGTCATTAACAGGCGGCTCGCTCAGTGTGTGACGTGCACTTGGAGATAAAATATAGGCCTATATTAATGAAGGTTCATTAGTACGGTTTTGTATTTCTCTGTAATGTAGCACAGTGTTAACAATGTTACTGATACTATTCTTTCTCACACCTTCAACTCAAACCACCAAAATATATCATTTAATCATTACATTCATATCAGAAACATGCAGGAGACTAGTCCACTGATGGACCCTGGTGACGACTGATGGTCGACTAGGAACATTCTTAGGCAGGGGCAGCCCTACCAGATATCATCTAGACCTGGATATTGTAAGTGTTTTCTTTTCCTGGTTTTAAAGACTGCATTACAGTGAAGTGATGTAAATTCCTGAATTCGCCAGACTGTTCTGGCTGATCTGTTATTTGCCTTTACCTACTTAGTCTTTATATAAGCTTCTGGGTGGGTGACACATAATACATCATAATACATCCTTCTTGGCTGTTTTTGTTTTTTCCTCTATAGAAGTGGTTGCATTATTTGCCACTCCGCGAGTACTGTTCATAGTTCAAGTTTCTGCAGAACTACTTCCCTAAAAGCAGGAGGAGCTGGAGAAGCGTTCACAGGGGGAATAAATCAATAAATAAATCAATTAACCAAACATTTCTACATTCAACACTCTCTGCTATGTGAATCAACGTGAAAAGTAATACAGAGAAGGCTGGTTACCTAGGTGATTGTCCATCTGGCAAAGCATTTTGGGAATATTCTCGTTCTTCTCGTCCTCCTCTCTGAGGACTGGCGCCATGTTCCAGATCATCACCTTGCCAGAATCCTCTCCTAAAAACAAATCCAATATTATAACCCAAACGCTCCTGACTTTTTGTTTAACGACAGACTAATAAAGACATCTTGCTGTTTTAATTTGGAAATCCCTCATGATCTGTCGTCTGAGGCTGCAGGGGAACACATTCAAAACTGTTTTAACTATAAAAAAAAAACACAGTCATTACCCAGAGTACAACATCAAGCACTGGTTGGGTGGTGCTGCTGATCTTACCTTGCCCACCAGTTGCAAATTTTGTCCCATCAGGGTGGATGTCAACTGAAAATATGGGTTTGCCTGTGAGACAAAACACATGCAACAACATTTAAAGATATCTGTCAAATCACAGTTTTGATAGATTTATAGTCAGACTAACTGATACTGCAGGCTGGTAACCCATAATAATTGAGAACACAATATTTCGACACAACAGGAACATAACAATGACCTCAGTGTTTAGGTATTTATTTTTGTATTTTAAACCATGCGTTATTCTATGGTTGCAATAGTTTGAGATTTTCACAGTACGATGACCATCCCAGAAAATATCACGGTTCCATGGTATGACAAAATGTATAATTATTACCAGTGACAATGACCCTTAAAGAAATGAAAACAGAAGAGCATTTGGTTGAACACATGCTCTATCATAACTGAAACCATTTCTTTTAATAGAAGAATGTGTAACCATTTAGAGGAAAGGAGATGCACGTGTGCAGGTGAGGTTCTCCGTCCGGTTGCAATAAGGTTCAATACTGTAAAAACAATGTACACAGTAGGGTAACCATCAATTTTCATACCTTAAAACCAGTATACTGCAGCAACCCCCAATTCGCACTGTTAGCCTGATGGAAAATTCTTCAACTTTACAGTAATTTTCCACAGCTAAGTCAGGGTGTGTCCATGATCTGAGACTGCTGCTCAGAAATTACTCTGATAATGTATTTAATCTCCAAACTCTCTTCTTATAAAGTACAGCTAAATTTAACATTACAAAAAAAAAAAAAAAAAAAAAAAAAAAAAATCTAACCAGCTGTTACACCTACCTACTGTATATTTATCTAATGTATTGCCATTTAATTGACTAAATGATCGATTCGTTATTTGTCATTTTTTAGATTATATATTTGGCCTTTTGACTCTATTTGATGGGACAGCTTCAGCGTAAAAGGCGAAGATAACATGCAGCAAAGGGTCACGGGTTGGAATCGTAAACGCGGCCAATGTGGCATGGACACAGCCTTTAGCGCATGGGGTACCCGCATAACCAGGCGAGCTACCGGGTGCCCCCGTTATTTGTAATTTGGTTATTATTATAAAAGCTATTTGCAGATTAACTCACAATTCTTGAAAGAAATACACAGTTGCAGCCCTGACACATTGTTTTACTTCATTAATGGTTATATATTCACATTCATCATATCATGTCTGCGTTTATATATCTAAGGATCCCCTCATAAAACAAATATTTCACCACAGGGGGTTCATCCCTACAAGTTGAAATTAACAGACTTTTATTAAGCTACATAAAGGAGTAGGAAGACGCAAACTTCTTGTCTAGTTCTAACACTGTTTCTCTTCTTACCCATAAATACACAATCTATCTCAGTGACCAACTCTCCACCCCAGCGTCCATGCTCTCAGTTAAACCACTCTGCTTGTGCTCTTCACACAACAATATCGCCATTAGTGTGCTTTACATTCCCCCTACTCATTTCTGTGCCTTGCAAAAGCTATTTATTGTACATCTTTTTAAACTGTCTTTTAAATTTCTCCCTCTCGTCCATTTCACAAACGCACACCAAAACTAGATAAACATGTAGATTAAAGGTTGCTGTGAGCACAGCACAGCACAGCACAGCACAGCACTGTTGCAGATAAGATTTTCCTCTCAAGTTATAACAAGGGGTGGGGGGAAAAAGTGATTGCGATATTTTTGTGTGGCAATATTGTATCGTCACACAGTGCTAAGTATAGATTTTTTAACTCTAATATTACAAATACAAATTAAACTTTAGGCAGCCTACTAGAATAATATAATCAATTTCTTTTTCAGTCCACTACAAACATTTTGCTGCAAAAAAAATCGTTGAGGTGATATGAACAGACTGAAACTTTACCTTATTAGATAAACAGATATTGACAAATTTACAGCTGAAAAAAGGTCATAATTGGCAATACATTTGGTCGCAATACTCAGCATATTGCAACATATTTAAAATCGCAATAATATTGTATTGTGACTCTCTCTCCAGGGACTTCTTGTATAAAGCCTGGAAGTTGATTGTTTCTTGCTTTTAACATTATTTGTGCTGTCTTAAATGTCAATGCATGTGACTCTAAAAATAAAGTGTTGTTCTTAAAAAATGTGTAGTATCCTTCTGGCTCCTTTATGTAGTATGTAGGAGATGCACCTTTCGTCTCTACTGTAATGTTAACTCATGTCAGCTAGTGACCGTTTGATGAAATAAACAGGTATCTGGACATGTCACTTGTCCATTAGGTTTTCTGTTTTGATGTGATAGACATGTACACATGTTTAAGATGCTTCACAGACTACATTAATTGTGTTAAAGACACATCACTTGTCTCTAACGACAGTAATTGTTCGCTGCACCCTAAATTCAGGCCACGGTTAACTTTCCCAAACTGACAGCTTGGAGAGACACTTTTTTAGCTCCATGTCGAGCTTGTTTACTGTCACTAAAATGAGGTGTGTTTACTAAAATATCGTCAGAAACAAATAAGAAGTCACTTTAGGACAACAACTTCGACATGGGTCATTTGGCAGGTAACTTAAATTAGCTAGCGTGAGGGTATCAGGGCTAGCCGGGGGGGGGCTAACTAGCTAGCTAGCTAAGGTTAGCAAACATGAGCAGTTGATAGATTTGGAGCAGCGAGGAATGGTCCCGATAGTGACAAAGACACCAGATGTGTGTGTTCAAGTGTTGAATTAAGTCTGGTATGTGAGTAACAGTGGAGTGACGGACAAGTCAAACAAGTGTCGACCACCACCATCATGCCTCTTTATCAATTCAGCCCCCTGCCGACAACAAAAGCCCAACTTGGTCCAACAGATTCCTGCACAAGCTTACCGTTGTGGCTCACCCAGCTCGGCTTCAGCAGCTTCATTTTTTTTAAATTTCCTCCTGTCTTATTTTCACCAAAAATCCATCCAGCGCTCAGTTCAGTCGGAGAACTAACGCTAACCCTCCGCCTTTTGTCTCAAACTCTGTCCGACACTTTGTTGTTTTTGTGATTCAACTCCATCTCTGCGACAGCATCCCCCCCGAGTCTCTCCAACTCAGACAGGCTGCTGCCCCGGACGACAGGCGAGGTGACACCAGGCAGCTCAGGAAGTGTTTCAGTTATTTTTGACCGCGGACCGGAAAGAGCATGCAGGGCTGCTGTCAAAATAGTTCCGTGGGAGAGAAACTTGGTGGACTTTTTAAAGATATGTAAAAAGAAAACGGTCGGAATCAGATTTACGTCATTTTTATGCTCTTATTTTTTTGTTTGGCGTAATTAATCAAACTTGAGAGACAAAAAAAATCATCAAGTTTGTCACGTCAGTGTAAAATTTATTTGATACGGCTCTTATTTTGAAAAGTCACATACGTTGAAATGCGCAAGCTCAGAATTTGAACTGTCAAGAAGAGCATGATGAGGGAGTCGGGTAGTAAAAAATAAATAATTATTGTAATTGTTATAATTATAACTCATTATTATTATTATCATCATGATCATTATTATTATTATTAGTATTAGTATTATTAGTATTATTATTATTATTACATAGTACCGTAAAACTTCAATTAGTAGCCCGGGCTGTTAGTTGCTTAAACCACTGACATCAACAGGCCTATATTTGGGACAGGCCTGTAATTCCTTTCACACATAACTGTTGCGCAGCAAAGATGGGAAACGCTATCAAATTGTTTATTTAAACCAGCATTAATATTACTTGTTGAAAAATTAGGCTTCAAATAACATCAGTTATGAATCATTCATTTGATGTAGCTCTGACAGAGCACATAGAGAGATAGAGAGTTTTACAGCACCTGAGGATAACTGCACCTGGCGTACTGACACACCACTTTATCCTGTTCAGACAATATTCATAACTTGGATTAATTCTTATAAGAAACTCTTTTGATTCTTTTCATGTTAGGAACCTTATGGATCAAAGGAATATGAATATCTGACAGGGTAATCGAGGGATGGACACATAATTTGAGGAAGCCAACAACCCAGTTTTATAAATCCAAAAAAAATCTATAAAAAAATGAACTGCTTGGCAACCAGACCAGGCGTCTAATGGAGACAGGTGCTATTTGTCAGAATGTGTAGCCACAGCGGGCTAGTTAAAGGGACTGGGCGTTTAATCTAGACCAGGCCTTTATTTGAAGTTTTATGGTATCTTCCATATGGGAGGTTCAGCTCTGATTGTTAAAACAGCGCACAGAAAAACCAAGATGATTTCTGTGAGTTTTATTTTGTTTCCATTGATTAAACAAAAAGGATCTTACTCTTGACGAAAAACGTACATCTCTGTAGGGATACAGCGGGATTAAAATCTTTTTCTAAGGCCAGCTGCATTAGACCTTGTCTCACACTCTGTTATGTGTACTCTGTTTTTATTGCTTTTATCTTGTTTTATTTGTCTTTTTTTCGGTAACTGTTTTGAAACGTCCTACACAATTAAAGTTTATTATTATATTAATATCTACGGCTTTAAGAATAAATATTATGAACTATGACTGTCTGTTTATTAATTCTGATAATCTATTGTGGAAAGTGAGTAAAAAATTCCCACAATCCTTCCAGTAATCTTGTCATACACCGATAATAACAATCTGAGCCTGTCTGTGTCAAAAACAAGCACTATTAGTGGACGTAAATTGAGAGTGTGAACATGCCCTGAGTTCCTCTCACTTAATGCTGGACCAGTTTCAAACAATGTTGTTCCCGTTAGTCACTTACACACAAGAGCAAGGGAATATAGGACCCAGGTTATACCAAAGTACCCTTAACTTTGGATGTTTAAGTTTATTTCACGTGCCACACACCAGGTCTTGAGGATGTGACTTTTTGGGGGCATTCCTGTAAATACAGACTCTATCTATGAACATGATTACAACTGGTCTCCATGGGTCCCCCGTTGCCGCCAGGCCCAAGAAACTTTCCCTTTTCCCCCCTTATGGGTGGCCCCGACTGAAGGGGCACATTTTCTTTACTGCAAGTCATCGAGGATAGCACCTTAACATGTTTTGTCTAAAACACGCGGGTGCTTTTACTGCGTTTCTTTCTCTCTTCTTTTTTGAAAATATGGGGGATGAAGGTGAAGATGTGTGAATCATTACTGAAGACCAAGATGTTCAAAACAACACAGTGATTTTATTCACAGACACAGTTCATGACACAGTTCAGTTTCATACACGGATAATGAACACAAACATCAAATTCATCATGGGGAAACTGGGACAAAGAGTTTCATTGGATGGTGTTCAGACTGAACTCAGAGCAAACACCAAAAACAGACAGTTATGTCTGTCTCAACTGTGTACAAGTCAGATTTATTTAAAACATTTCCTCTCCCAGAATAAAAGTTATAAAAACACTCCCATATTTTTTCTTTAAGAGAGTTTACAGTTGGCGGTTTTTCATTCTGTTGTTAATATATGCTTTTAAAAGTTTTGCGTCACAGACTCTGTTTAATCTCACTTCATTGACAGTAACGTTAACAGTCAGCACAGTTAGTCAGTGTAAACCCCAGTCACTTCATGATGCATTCACTTCCCCCTCCCAAAAACAACACAAAACATCTGTACAATAAAGTTTCTGCAAAAATCTTTGTTCAGAGTTTAAAAATCAAAAACACCAGACATTATTCATACCAACTAAAGGAAGAAAATCATTGTGACAATAAGTGAACACCAGCATTGTTCCAGAAAGTCTCTGTATTTCCTACACTCTGCTTATACATTGTACCAGCTTTTGTCAAATGGAAAATAATGTGAAAAAAGTCTAAATAATCCGGAGAAAATTCCATCTTTTTGACCAAATATATTCTCAGTGTAGAGTTTAAAATGCTAAAAGGGTGACGTGTGAGGATTAAGACAGATTTTAATCATTATTAGTAAAAGTGGAACATGGATGAAGAGTGGAAAAGTAGATTATGTTGGACTTTTTTTATTTCCACAACAAAAACTTGACGCCTTTGATATCTATTTATTTTACACAGCATCCTCTCTCTTTGACAGAAGTCCTTGATACTCAAATGAAAGATCTGGGATGAAGTATACCTTTAACGCCAATTATATAAACCCAGTTTTTTACCTTTCTGTAACATTGGTTATATCACAGATGTATAACGAGAACTGGCACACTAAGCCAAAAAAGTTCCACTTCCGGGGTTCAAAATGACCCTAACCTTCTGCATCATTAGGTCCATAGAGAAGGCGTAATATAGACGTAAGCACTATTCGGACAGGATTAGTTTTACATGGGCACGTGGGGTAATGTCACTTTACCACAGGACGTCGGTAATATTAATGGCCAATTCGCACGGGATAAGAAATATCAGTGAAACTACCACAAGTGGACTGTTCTTGCACTGAGGCTCCTTCACATAGAAATAGGACAATTTCGCGCCAAATATTAACTCATTTAAATCTCAAGCACTAGTTGCTATTTGGCAGTGCAGTTCAGGGTGCATTGAGAATTACATGGTGTCTGTATGTCGTTTATGCAGGTTTATCAGCTGCAAAACCAGCGCAGTCCTTTTGTAAATTCACCCCTGAGTTAAATCTTATTTTATTTTATTTCACAGTGGTGGAGGAAGCTTTCAAATCCTTTCCTTAAGTAAAAGTACTCATACCACATCGTAAAAATATTCTGTTACAAGTTGAAGCTGTGCATTGAAAATGTAACTTAAAGGAAAAGTCAGTAACAATAATCAAGTATTAAAAGTAAAGGTACCCAATCCAGAAAAATCTTAAAATAAACCACCCAAAAAACTCATTAAAAAACGTTATAAAACAACTTAAATGTTTGTCAAAAAGTTGCCAATTCATTTTCTGTCAATTGGCTGATTGATTGTAATTGTTTCAGCTGTACATGTATTAACTGCTGAGTAGTTTAATCTATAACAAGAGATGATATTTTATAAACTTTTCTTATGCTTTTTGTGCAAAAATCCTCATGTGTAAAGTAACTGACGCTTTCAGATAAATGTAGTTCAGTAAAAAGAATGATACGTCTGCCAGGTATGTATAGGAGTAGAAGTTTAAAATGGCAAGAAAAGAGCAGACTCAAGTACTCTGAATTTGTACATAAGTACAGTACTTGAGTAAATGTACTTAGCTATGTTTTTACCAAGTGTCCAAGTGTTAGTGAGCGAGACACTAAGCCGAATCTGCTCAGCACAACTTCATATTTAAAGGATTTGACCTGATGAAAACTGTATGTAATGTCCTGACTGTCACACTCTGTAATGTTGAACAGTTTAGGTTAAACTTCCTACAGAAACAGATGATTCTTACCCAGCTCCCAGTTCAGTCTGACCTCACTGGGATGAACAAAATAATAGAAACACGTCTCATTAAAAAGCAGTACAGTTCCACAGCACCATGAACTACACCCTCACTGTTGAATCAACACCTCTGTCAAACAGCTTGAACACAAACTGAGCCCTCCTGAGGAGCGGATTTGTCACAGTGCTGCTGTGCTGCTTTAGTTTAACTGTTAACTGTCATAAAAACAAATGATTCAAAGAAGTGCCAATCAGCTTCATAGCTTAATAGGCTTAATTAGGATTTATAAAATGCCCACACAGTGTCTCGAGCACCAGTCAGTTCAGAGATAAGAGGTCAGAGACTTTACAGTTTCTGAAATGTGTGATGTGTTTGGCAGGTGGGGGCAGGGGGCCTCACGGACCTGATGTCCCTCTGAAAGTGGCTTCGATCTGCTCCAGTGTCTTCCCCTTTGTTTCTGGGATGAAGGCGATGGTGAATATGACATTGGCGATGCACATACAGGCGAAGAGCCAGAAGGTTCCAGCGCTGGTTAGAAGAACCTGGAAGAGGACGCAGTTATATGGTGACGTTGGAAAGGCCACAGAGAAGGTTTCAAGGTTTCACGATACATTTAGCAAAACACATACAGAAGGCGACAGTACTGTACACACAGGTAGAGCTGCAACTAAGGTCGATCATCTACTCATTGATCCACCTCACCAGGATCTACAACAATGACATCGGAATGCCACCCACACTAGATAAGTGTGGTCGGATGGTGCCAAAGAGAGGGAAGGTGACCAGAACCGAGGGGGTTGAACTACCAGAGGGCAAAATTGCAGATGTTCAGGACAGCTACAAATACCTTGGGGTCTAACAGGCAAATGAGAACCATGAAGACACCGCAAGGAAGTCAGCCACAGCCAAATACCGACACCAAGTAAAGGTGCAGACACACCAAACCGACATCAAAGAACTAGCTGCAATGAAAGCCAACTGTTGCGTCGTCTACGTCGCCTCACGTCGCCCTGTGTCAGTTTCATTTGAACACACTACACGGACTACATCCGACGGCCAAGTAGCACGTACGTTCTGCGCCTGCGTGAGAGAGAGCGGAGTGAGAGAGTGGTACATCCTGTCAGCCGAGGGGTTTCCTATCTGTGCAGCCGAGCACCGCAGCACCTCCACGGACTATTACATCCAGACGGTCCCGGTGTTTCCTCCTCAGGCTCCACTTCACTCAGCTGCCCGATAAACCCGCTGCTTCTTCCCACTTTAACCTGAATAACAAACCAGGGCTCGGTGCTCCGGTTGGATCCAAACGGAGAGCCGGGGCTAGCTCAGAGACTAGCGGAGGCTAACTGGCTGTGCTTCCCTCCAGTCATGCTGCAGCTAACACTCCGCTAGCCGCTCCCAGCTAGCTCAGGTTTGTTTTTCAGGTTAAAGTGTGAAGAAGCAGCGGGTCTGTGGGGCAGCTGAGTGAAGTGGAGCCTGAGGAGGAAGCACCGGTTAGCCCTGGTTTCACTACAGGCAGATTCACTCGCTACAGGGGCGAGGAAATAAAACCTGAACAGCCAATCAGAGTGATCTCTCTCACTGACAAGCTCCGCCACTGGTTCAACATGCTCAATCGGCCGAAAAGCCGCCGACGCCGAAGTGCTGACGGTGCAGGACATGGGGCGTGGTCTGGAAGCTGGAGAGGTGCTAGTTCCCCTCTTGGGCACTACCAAAGTGCCCTTAAGATGGCACTAAACCCGCCAACTGCTCGGGGCGCCCGTCCAAAGCAGCCCCCTCACTCTGACATCTCTCCATTTAATGCAAGTATAGGTCCTGTTTGTGCATGTGTGTGTATTTCGGACCTGTGTGTGTATGACAACAGAAGGCAAAAACTGAAAACCAAATCTTTACCCACACCTGACCTGGCCTCAAATAAAAAAATGTCCCAAAATCTATTTTAACCACCAAAACCCTTCAAATAGTGTCCTGTTGAACACTCACCATCATGTCCTTGAAGTTTTTGGTGACGATGAACGCCATGGTCCAGTTGGTGAGGACGCACACAGCGCTGGCGACCCCCCTTGCTTTAGAGGGGAAAATCTCCGACATGACCAGCCATGGGATCGGACCCCAGCCCAGAGCAAAACCTGAACACAGCAAACATTGTTAATGTGGCGTTTTCTTCTCTTTACTTAGTAATCAGAGACAAAACATGTCACATTAAACACAAGACATGTCGTTAAAACAATGCTACAAAGAGCGCAAAACAGACACACATGAAGGGGGGAACTGTGAGAGACAGCTATAACTGAAAGCTGATAGGTCAAATGAGTGGACAAAGGGATTCAGACAGAGGAAGAGCAGAGGGATGAAGACTGCTGGAGCTAAGTATCTCTAACTGTCTGTGATGCAGTGATCTGACCTGTGATGAAGACGGCCATGCTGGCCAGAGCCAGCCAGGCCAGGTCAGCGTGGGGTTCTTCTCCAGCCGTGCTCTGGGGGTCCAGCACCAACAGGCTCAGCGAGGTGGTGCTGTGAACTTTGGTCATCAGGTAGAAATAAACCCCGAATGCTGTGGTGCTGATCGCCATGGCAACACCTTGATTATTGAAGGGAAAACAAAGAAATTCTGTCATAACCTCGTCATCGTGTCTGATGGTGATGAGAGCGTGAACTGATTAAACAATTTCATTCCAAAACCCAATCAGCTTTTGTATTCCATGTCTCTGTAAGGGAGTCTCATTAAAGCTGGGGTAGGTAGTTTTTTATTTCCCTCGCTGGATCAGCAAACTTTCTCTTGCTGCCATTTTAGGAACCGTACACATGACACTTCTTCTGCGCCCTCATATTCATTGTTTTCAATGTAGACGTGCGGCAGGTTCGCTCAAACACCAGAGCGACGCAGTGGCGGCATGCATGCGTTCTGTAGCACCTATTTTTCAGAGTGTGACAGCTACCCTCTGAGATAAACTGAGTTCAAATTTTGGATTGCAGCAGCGCACACTGCTTGTCATGTGACGCGGAACAACCAATCACAGCCGACAAATATCTTTCCCTTCTCCCGAAAATATCAGTCTGTGATAAAAATGGCGGAGAAGTTGATCATGTTAGTGCAGAGCTACCCAGAGCTTTACACCTGGCTCACAGACGATAAGCCTACACACTTATAAACAGCTCCTGGAAGAAGATTAGCTCTGCACTCAGGATTTTAGGTAGATAGGCTATGGTAACATGCTTGTTGAGCTTTAGGGCTGCAACTAACAATTATTTTCAATGTCGACTAATCTGCCGATTATTTCTTCGATTAGTCGACTAATCATTTTATCAAAAAATGTGTTAAAATGTTGAAAAATGTCGGTCTGTCTCTCCCAAACCCCAAAATTATGTCATCTAATGTCTTGTTTCGTACTCACACCACTCACGTTTTAGTTCACCGTCATGGGAGAGTGTGTAAAGCTGCCAATATCTGAACGTAAGAAGCTGCAATAAGAGTATTTTGGGTACTTTATAGTACTTTTCTATGAAACATGACTCAAACCTATTAGTCGACTACTAAAATAGTCACCGATTATTTTAATAGTCGATTAGTCGACTAATCTTTGCAGCTCTACTGAGATTTAACCTGCCACCACACTCTTGAAAGATGGCGCAATAAAGGCACACAAGTAGCGCCCAGCACCCAACCTTGTGTTTTCCAGCCAGTTAAAGACGCAGCATGTGTATAGCCCCATACAGTTTAGATCTGACACTGCTGCTGGCTACCAGCCCGCTGTGACACCCAGCGCTGGGAGGTTTGCACTGGCTGATTCAACCCACTACAGCCACCAACCAAAGGTCGGGCTCGGAGCTGCAGCCCGCTCTCCTCCCAGTGATGCAGTCCACAGCGGTGGGGATCGAGGTGAAGGGACCTCTGCAGCTAATTCTGGTCTCATTTATGGTCCGATGAACAGAGATAGAGAGAGGGGGGCTGAGCAACTCTACACGCAATAAGATTAAATAAATCAATGTATGGGACATACTGGGTCACTGTATGAAGCACCTGCATGCCCTTGGTCGTCTGGTGGGAGGGGCTCAGGACAGAGAGCGGAGAGCTGCAGGAGAAGGCTGTTTTTTCTAATTCTGACTGTTCTTTTTGCTTTCTCAAATGTCTGCCTACCCCAGCTTTGAAAGGGACGCTGCGGTTCATTGTGAGTTACTTAAAAAGACGACCTCCCAGCGCGCCCCCAGAGAGGTATCCTTTTGAAACTAGAAAATAAAGTTTGTTTAAAAATATTTAAAACAGATGAAAATACCTGAGATGATGAGAAGAACTTTTCTCCCAGCTTTGTCCATGATCAGCGCTGCCACTCCCGTAAAGACGACCTGAATCAGACCCACGATCACTGAAGCCAGGTCACTCTCCTAAAAACAACAGCAAGACGTTTACATCTTTTCAACAAGACACAGTTATGTTCTTACTGAAAATATACAGAGGTGTTGCAGCTTTCTGATGTGGTCATAAAAAAAAATCACAAAAATTCTGTGAATGATTTCTAGTCAAAATTTAGCTGAAAAAATAGTTTGAGTTTGCATTTGAACTCAGACAAAGTTTTTTTTTCATGGAGTAAGTACTTTTTTAAAAGTTAAATGATTAACTAGAACAGGTAGTTGTGTGGTACATTTTTTCAGCATATCCTAAAAACCTTTATCATTGTTTAAAGACCAATGTGGAGGTATTTTTGGTAAGAAAAGGCCAATTATGATTTCAATTATCATATTTTTTTTTCTTAGCTCCTGGTTATAAATCCAGATTTTCACCTTAAATTGCATCAAAGTATTTTAGCTGCATCAGAGGACATTAACAAGAGCAACACTTGCAGATAGACATGAGAGGACAGAAGTTGAAGAGTCATGTGTAATTGTTACTGAGTGCAAAGTTAATTTCTCCTGAATAAATAATAAACTTAAAAACTCTTCACCTTAAAATGTGCCTGTTCAAATATGTTCTCAGCATAGAACATGATGGCATTGATCCCTGTCATCTGCTGAAAGATCATTAGCATGATGCCGATCACCAGAGGCTTGTAGATACCGGGGTCCTTCAGGTCGGACATCTGGAAACTGGAGCCCTGAGAGGACACACAGAGAGCAAGAACAAGTCTCAGGAGGAGAAACTGGTGGAGTTGTGGAGTGAACAAGAGTCTGAATTTAATCCTGTGTGTTTCTGATCCATCAGTTAGCACTTATTTAAACTAGAAATAAGCTAAGCTTGAACAGTTCACCTCTCATTCCCCTGTCGCCTCCTTCTAAAATAATGCAGTTAACCAAGGAATTGTTAAAATGTCATATTTTTTAAATTAAGTTTGGTGTAGTATTTTCCACCAGGAGCAGGATGGGAAATAATCTTAAAAGGAATCTAGTTGTAGACTTGCATATAGTGACCCTGCATGATCAGCAGTCTCTGTATAATCTAGTTCTGAGTTTTCAAAAGTATTTTCAAAATAATCTCAAAGTCTTCTAGTGTAGGGTGAGCATAGATACTGGGACTGCAGACTGTTCGTCTCCTGGTCCTAAGCAGTCTGGGTATTTACTTCATCATTTCCAACAGTGGTGGTGTCAGCAATGAGGAGGACGGTGAGGTCATACAATCATTTCATTTGCTGATTTGAGGCTTCAGTTCCTGCAGCGTCTCCTGTGGTGACTTCACACAGTGCATCGCTCTGTTCCTTGTTTCTCACATTCTCACTGGCTCAAACTGTCCACCGCATCACAGCCAAGCCAACCGACCACAGACTCACCTGCTCCTCACAGGCGTCCTCGATTCGGGCGCACTCCCACTCGACGGGGGCGTCCGGCCCTCGCAGGAAGCGTAGCGCCTCCTCAGCCTCCCGCCTCTTGCCCTGGGACAGCAGGTACCTGGGCGTCTCTGGCATGAAGCACATGCAGACCATCAGCAGCGTGGGCGGGATGGAGCTGCAGATCGCCAGCCAGCGCCAGTCCATGTAGAGACCTGCAGGATGAGTTCACACAGCTCAGGATGAGAAGCTGGAGCCGGACAATGACTTAAACAATTATTCGATTATTGATTAATTTTCTGTCAATTGACTGATCTATTAACAGACAGATCAGCCTCTCGTCAGTCTATCAATTAATCCACCAAAACCATATTAACATGGTATGGAGTCAAAACAACAAACAAAAATGTGGACAAAACAACAGCAGCCAGCAGAAATTAAAGGGACAGTTCACTGCAAAATCAAAGGTACATATTTTCCCTGACGTGTAGTGTTATTTTTCAATCTAGATTTTTTGGTGTGAGTTGCCGAGTGATGGGTATATCAACCAGAGAGATGTCTGCCTTCTCTCCCAATATAATGGAACTAGATGGCACTCAGCTTGTGGTGCTCAAAGTGCCAAAAAATACATTTAAATAACTCAACAGTTTAATGTAGGATCTACTTTCTTTCAACCAAACTACATCTGCCAACTGTATCACTGCGCAGAAGGAAGTGCGCGTCTACTCATGGACGAGAGGCCGTGTGTGTGTGTCAGTGCCAGATGTAAGCATTAAGCTAGCTCTGTGGTGGACTAGTAGTAGATGCATGCTTCCTTCTGCACGGTGAGCTAGAGGGTGTAGTTTGGTAGAAAGAAAGTAGCTCCTCCATAAATGGCTCACATAATTTTAGGGTGAACCACAATCTAACTAAGACACGAAATCAGACTAAGAGGACGCTGACGCTCCTTGGATATTAAAGGATCTCCCAAAAGCAAGATGAATCCTTTTGAAAAAATTAAAATGTAATTTCACACCATGACATCAGCTACCTTTGCCCTTTTGGCTCCATTTTCAAAAATGAAACGCAAGAAGGTTTGAGTTTTTGTTTCTCCCCCAGCTGTGCTTGAAACATGCCAGGTCCTGCACTGTGCATGACAGACTGAAGGCTGCAGGACACAGTGGAGCCTTGTCAGGTCCAGCTGTCCTCACGAATGTCCTCCTGTGCTGCATCTAAAAATACATTCCTCTGCTGATCTGATTGTTCCACTGCATTTTCTACAATGATCACGGTGTTCAACTGGTGCTGAGCAGCAGCTGGTTTGTGATAAAGTATTATATAAATCAAGTATTCCTTTGAAAAACATGAGTACATGGACATGTTTACAGTTATTCCATCTGGTGATTCATTTATAAATATAAATATTTATCATAATAGATTCAAATGTGCCAAAAAATGTTGACTCCTTAACTGTTAATTTAGCAAACTGATGCCTTTTTTGTTTGTCCTTCGCATGACATCAGTTTAACAAATCACTAAGAAGTTTATATTATAAAAGAGCCATTTAACCAAAATGACATAACAACGTATTCCTTCAGTGTCCCCTAACACGAGACGTCATGTGACACGCCAGCGTCTGTTGGGTACACATGAATGGCATGCAACTAACAAGATTAGGGCGATGGCAGTGAGGCTGCTGTGGAACAGGCAGCTGATCATATCTGAGGATGATCGCATCACATGATGGCCAGGTTTTGGTCATCTGTACTTCATAACCTTTGATCCAGAGGTTTGAAACAGAACAGCAACCTCAGAAAAACTCATTATAAACTAAACCGTGTTGTCACGGGGGGGTTGACATGAGCGACAGAGAGAATGAAAAACAGAAAAAGAAAAAATATGACATATTTTTAGATAAGAGGGCAGACTTGTAGCTCTGTGTTACGTATAGGGTCATAATGTTGGATGCTGTAAAGTTACATCATGGAAAACCTTCAATGATTTACAGCTTGTAAACTGCTGTGGGTTTGAGTGACCTTACGGGACTTCTTTCTTATCTTCACTTAAACATTCAGTGAGTTTCAGAGTCAGATTTTACATCAGGAGATTTAAAGGGACAGTTTGGATCTGTTGAAGTGGTGTTGTATAAGGATCTAATCCATAGTCAGAGCATTACATACAGTGGATGACAGTCAGCACGCCCCCAGTTTGGAGAAGAGACAGGAGTACAACCCTCACAGCCACCAGACTCCTTTAGAAATACAGTAATTTAGCATCATTGAGCACAGGAGCTGCTGGTCTGCTGTCGCCTTGATCGGTTAGTTTGTTTGTGTTACTGTGTCACATTGGTGACTCCGAACTCCCTTTAAGGATGCCACACACACATAAAGCTGAACTTACATACCTGCGAGATAGACTCCCATGATGCCTAGCACCACCATGAGTTGCACACAAGAGCCTAACATCCCGCGGACCCGCTCGTGTGCCATCTCGGAGATATACAGCTGTGTGAAAAGAGACAGAGAGAGAATTACACAGAGGACAACATCAGAGTTACTGACAGCAAACGACCAACTCTCAGTGATATTTTAGGCATTTTAGGCAACGCTAAAATCCATAGAAACCTAATCATAAATGAGCCTGGACACCTGGGACTTTCCACGTATACAACAATTTGACTCCACTTTCTTGTTTCTCCCAATACACTCACACAGAAAAAGACACCAACAACAACAACATCTTTAAACTGTACTTGATTCATTGTTGATTATTTGTTCAAATTCCATTTACAATGACATAAAATATAAAAGCACATCTGAAGCTCATATCTGAGATGCTAAAACCAGAGAATGTTTGGCATCTTTGGCTTTAAGAGTCACTTACAAACTTACAAAGTGTATTCTAGAGATTAAAGGGACAGTTCAGAGTTTTTGAAGAGGAGTTGTATGTGGTGCTTTTCCATAGTCAGCGTACAACAAACAGTAGATGTCAGTTGGCACACCCTCAGTTTGGAGAATGAGGCTAGAGTTCAACATGGAAGTTAAGCATGTAGTCCCACTTAAAAAGAAAAAAAATCAATATTCATTTAAGTGTATATTTAAGTGTTTTCACTGCTTTACTTTAATGTCAGACAGTGATTTTCAACTGGAAAATGAAGCCGTTATATCGCTCTGTTCAAAGCCAGACTCCACTGAGGAAAAACACTAGGGCTGCAACGATTAGTCGACTAATCGATGACTAATCAGTGACTATTTTAGTAGTCGACTAATCGTTTGAGTCATTTTTCATAGAAAAGTACTATAAAGTGCCCCAAAATACTCTTATTGCAGCTTCTTACGTTCAGATATTGGCAGCTTTACACACTCTCCCATGACGGTCAACTAAAACGTGAGTGGCGTGAGTACGAACCAAGACATTAGATGACATAATTTTGGGGTTTGTTAGAGACAGACCGACATTTTTCAACATTTCAACACGTTTTTCGATAAAATGATTAGTCGACGAATCGAAGAAATAATCGACAGATTAGTCGACAATGAAAATAATTGCTAGTTGCAGCCCTAGTGAACACAGAACTTGCTGGTCTACTGCTGCCTCCATCAGTTAGTTTGTCTGTGTTATTGTGCGACTTTAGTGTTTTAAAGAGTTAGTTTAGATTCACCAAAGTCACACAACAGCACAAACACACTAACTGACTGAAGCAGCAGTAGACCAGCAGCTCCTGTGATCACTGAGCTAAAATTACTGTTTTTCTCAGTGGAGTCTGGATTTGACAAGAGCATAGATGACGAACTTAATCTGTTGATGGCTTCTCCTTTAAAATGGGCTGTCTGACATTAATTAAAGCAGTGAAAATAATTTTAATGTACTGTAGTGTGCTCTTAAACTGATATTGATTTGTTTTTGTGGGAATTTTATAGGTGGCTAAAACATGTTTTGTTGCTGACCCCTCTACAGCAGCTGCTTCTTCAAACTGGGGGCGTGCTGACCATAGACTGTATAAAATAATTGCTGGTGCTGACTGACAAAAGATAAGTGCCCCATACAACACCACTTCTAAACATCCAAACTATCCCTTTAACAACTAATTGAATAATTTATCCAGAGATTTTTATAAATATGAAACTTCTAAAACTCAAAGTTGTGCCAAAAATCCTGTGAAAACACCACAAATATAAAAGTGGAGGGTTGTGATTAGTGACCAGACTGCCTGTCAGCTGGAGTTTCACAGTGATCAGACCAAGGAAGCAAATGGCTGACTTCAACCGATTGGTCAAAGTAATCTGATTTTTAATGTGCGTGGATTTGTAGTGAAACTGGTGGCAACACAGGAAGTCACTACATGAACATCGACACAGGAAAGCAGGAGGACAAGAATAAAAGAAGCGATGCCACGTCAGCTTCTTACCGGGACGACCAGTGACGTGACCCCACTGGCGATGCCGGTGAGCACTCTGCCGATGTAAAGCATCCACCTGTTCTGCGCTGCGATGATGATGGTGAAGCCGAAGACGAACGGCAGCGAGCAGAACATCAGACTCAGCTTCCTGCCGATCTTCTCCACCATCCAACCGCCCAACAGGCCGCCGAGTGCTGCTCCTATCGTCACTATGGACTGAGAAACAAAAACACAAAGACTTTTATTCACATGTGACCCTGTTTTTGACCAATTTTAATACTGCACGTTGGGGTGAAGTATGAAACAGGAAGGTAAATTATTACTAATTTCAATTTATAGCAAGTTTGCACACAAATGACCAAACGAAGCTACAACTAAAGATCTGTGATTGGATGTTTCTTACTGCAATGCACCCTGGGAGTCTCAGTTGTCTTCTCTTTTTCAGTTGTTAGGTCCACAGATTTTTAAATCAAATAATCAAAGATTTTCAAACACAGCTGTTCATCTTTTGAACTGATGATTCAACCGTCGCTCACCTAGCACTGGCTGTGTCTGCGCCTATTTCAGTGATACTCCACTTGAGGCCCACGGTAGGTTGCTGGGTGGCCCTCTGACCCTTTTGTAATTCAATATAAAAATTAACTGATTTACAATGGAATGTTTTTGCACTTTTATTGTAAATAAAGTGCCAGAGTGTATAAAAAAGCATTTAACTGCTAGGGGAGGATCCCTCTGACTTCATGACAGTGATCTGGGCTAATTATTTATATATTAATTACTGATGTTTATTTGTTACCTGGCCCTTTGACCTCCTGTCATTTTGCAAAAGTTGCCTGTGGGCAAAACATAAAAAGTTGTTTGGAAAAACGTCATTTGAACTCTGTTTTTAGCCTCATTGTAGCCTGTAGCTCTGACTGCTTCTGTGTACACCGAGCTGACGTGTGTGTGTGTGCTTGCGTGAGACCGTGAGACATGGGCACCACCAACCTTCATGTGTGTTCACGTGCTTTCGCTGGTCTCGCACGCAAGTGCGCACACATGAGCGCGGTGCACAGAGAGGCAGTCAGAGCTGCAGGCTACAATGAGGCTAAAAACAGAGTTCATATGACGTTTTTCCAAACAACTTTTTATGTCAGGGCTTCAGGACACTTGGATCACTACGGACGAGCAGTATGGAGATATTTTGTGGTTTCAATTCTGTGTTCTTGGACATTTTAATCTCCATTAGGTGGAGTTGTGCTGCTACCTCCTCTCCCCTTGGATCTCCGCAAGTGATGTGAGGACTCTAAAACTTCACCTGAGCCTCCCTCGGCATATGGGTGAGTAGATAATGGCTGAATTTTCATGTTTGGGTGCACTATCCCTTTAAGATGCATGTTTTTCTTTACAATCATAAGCATCTCTGTCTTGTCGCTTTCAGTCTATTTCTCCTCTCATCAGTGATGTGAGACGCAGAGCTTCACAGCTGCTCACTGAAAGCAAACATGAAAACAAACCACACGTGCACTCGGCACTTAACACCCTCTCATGTCATGCCAGAGTCGGTGCAGCCACTGGCTTCTTCTCCAAATCAGCAGGTGGGCATGATAGCTACTGACATGGTCATAATAATCATCTTCTCTTGGTTTAAATAACCTGGGTAAGTGTAATTCATACTTAGCTTCAAACATGTTTAGCTTCACATATAAGTTACCAAATCAAATCTTTTATTTTGATTGCATCTGACATCTGTTATTATAAGAGCTCTATTTCTGTGTTTCTTTACACTGTGACCATGTTTACAACCCACGTGAATCCAGCGAGGTGTGTTCAGACATGTGATGACTCAAAACTGCTTATAAGTCAGAAACACATCATCTAAAAGCTGTTCTGCTTTGAGGCATGTGATATTGCATCATCATCATCATCATCATCATCATACCCCAAACCACGAGGCCTGTTCACTGTCCAGCTGCAGATTAGGGTTAGCGATCCTGGTGAGTTCGGGGATGGCCGGAGAGCTGTACCCCAGCACGAAGCCGAAGCTCATGGGACCCAGAACAGATGCAAACGTCGCCAGGTACAACTTCCCATTTTTCACTTTACTGCGGGGAGAGAGAGGAACACAGCAGAGTGCAAAGTTCAAAGGTCAGTGTGTCAAATGTGATCAAAGGACAGTTGAGCTGCTTACATAAGCAGGTTTGCACTTTCAAATGTCTGAGTTAAATAAGAGAACTCTATAAACCCAGAGGAGAAATCTGCACTTGGTTTATCATGTGAGTTTTTAAGAATTAAAATAATGCGATCTATACTCTTTTTTATTATGTTCTTTTCACCTTGCATGGTAGGATCAACAGCAGCTGCGTGTTTTTTAATGTTTGTTAATGGTTAACAGTGAAGTAAAGTTTTAGCAAAGTAACACTGACTTTTAATAAAAATGTGAAATACTAAAAATTATGAAAACATAGTTTCATCCATATTTTTTAGTGAAGAAGAGTGAAGAAGTTCAAAACCAATTACAAAAAAGTTGTGACGCTGTGTAAAACGTAAACAAAAACAGAATGCAATGATCTGCGAATGTCTTTAGACGAGGTATGTCATGTTCAAACTAAGAAACGTCATTGTTTTTTGTAAATATACACTCATTCTGAATTTGATTCCTGTTCGGACGGAGGCAACATAAGACTGGGAAAGTTGTGGGATGCTCCAAAAAACAAACCCCTGGAACATTCCACAGGTAAACAGGTTGATTGGTAACACATGACAGTATCATGAATGGTATGAAAGGGACATCCTCGAACGGCTCAGCTGGATTACTGTAACTCTCTATTATCAGGTAGCTCTAGTAAGTCCTTAAAAACTCTCCAGCTAATTCAGAATGCAGCAGCACGTGTACTAACAGGAACTAAGAAACGAGATCATATTTCTCCTGTTTTAGCTTCTCTGCACTGGCTCCCTGTAAAATCCAGAATTGAATTTAAAATCCTACTGTTAACTTATAAAGCTCTAAATGGTCAAGCTCCGTCATATCTTAGAGAGCTCATAGTGCCATATTATCCCACCAGAACACTGCGCTCTGAGAACGCAGGGTTACTCGTGGTCCCTAAAGTCTCCAAAAGTAGATCAGGAGCCAGAGTCTTCAGCTATCAGGCTCCTCTCCTGTGGAATCATCTTCCTGTTACGGTCCGGGAGGCAGACACCGTCTCCACATTTAAGACTAGACTTAAGACTTTCCTCTTTGATAAAGCTTATAGTTAGGGCTGGCTCAGGCTTGCCCTGTACCAGCCCCTAGTTAGGCTGACTTAGGCCTAGTCTGCTGGAGGACCCCCTATAAATACACCAGGCACCTTCTCTCCTTCTCTCTCTCTCTCTCTCTCTCTCTGATTGATTGATTGATTGACTGATTGACAAGCAAGGATGATCACGTTGACATAAGCTGCGTGAGCAAATAGTCAAACAGTTTAAGAACAATGCTTCTCAACTCACAGTCGCATTATAGATTTCATCATCTATGATGCATAATATCATCAAAAGATTCAGAGAATATGGAGGAATCTTTGCACAGAAGAGGCACTGCTGACAACCAATATTGAATGCCTGTGACCTTTGACCCTTCAGGTGGCCTGGCATGTAAAACTGACATGACTGTATAAAGGATATTACTACATGGGCTCAGGAACACTGTCAGTAAACACAGTTCATCACTGCATCTACCCTGCAAAGTGAGGGCCAGAAATCAACAACATCCAAAAACACCACTGACTTCTCTGAGCCGAGCTCATCTGAGACGGACTGACACAAAGCGGTCTGACGTGTCCATCATGGACATCGTGTCCTCTGGGCTACAGAGGCAAAGGATCATCCAGACTGTTACCAGCTCAAAGTTCAAACGCCAGCATCTGTGATGGTACAGAGGTGTGTCAGTGCCCATGGCATCATGGCTCACTTCAGCTCTGTGAAGGCTCCATGAACACTAAAAGGTACATACAGGTTTCAGAGCAACATATGCTGCCATCCAGACGAGGTCTTTTTCCGGGACGTCCCTGCTTATTCCGGCGAGACCACATTCTACTTCCAGCCAAGCCACATTCTGCATGTGCTCCACAGCGTGGCTCCACAATAACTGCCTGCAGCTCAGACCTGTCTCCCACTGAACATGTGTGGCACATTATGAAGCACAAAATGCAACAATGGAGACGCCGGACTGTTGAGCAGCTGAAGTCGTATATCAAGCAAGAATGGGAAAGAATTTCACTTTCATAACTTCAACAGTTTGTGTCCTCAGTTCCCAAACGCAGAAAAGGTGATGTCACATGGTGGTAAACATGCTCCTGTCCCATGTTGGGACGTGTTGCAAGCATCAAATTCAGAATGAGTGAATCCTTATAAAGAACAATAGAGTTATCAGTTTGAACATTAAATATCTTGTCTTTGTGCTGTATTCAGTTGAATATGGGTCGAGGTTGTACACAAAAGCATTTAGAGTGTGTGACTAATCAGTTCAAGGACAGTACTGGTGTGTTGGCAAGTTTTATCTTTGTAACTACAAACTGCAGGACATGGGCTCCCATCCCTTCCTGTCGGGCGTGGAAGAAATAACAGCAAAAACCTGTTGGTCTGATTAATTATCTGACTACAAGAAAATTAACTTACAACGACGAACTGCTGGTTGAACAAAACAAGCTATCTGAAGTGCTTGAGATGGACATTTATCACATGATGTGTTATTTTATTGGCTGAACAATCTCCTAACTGCTGCACAGTGAAGCAGCTGTATTGTGCAGATTTATTACCAAAATGATATTGGAACTTTGCCAAACAAGAACACAGTTTTTCATAGATTAGGTAAGTAGGCACTGGTCTTTGTGTTGACAGTGTGTGCTGGCTGCAGCTCCACTGAGCTCGTCACCGTGTGTTTGTGTTTGTCAGCTGACCTCAGGTAAGCATCCTGCTCGGACAGGAGTCCAGTCGGATCCTCATCTCCTTCCTCCGCATCCAGCAGCCTTCTCCTCTCGTTCTGGATGTCCATACTGACAGCAGTAATGTTTCCAGGTGGCTTCTCCTCCCTTCACATGGATCACAGCTCAGGAGAAACTGGCAGCCGAGCAGCGACACGAGGGCGGAGAGAAGAAACGGGACAGTGTCACAGACAGCTGCGAGTAAACATCGGACATTTCAGTTGGTAAAACCAGAGAGTCTTACTCATCGCCGAAACTGCCAGCGAAGGTTTCTGCTTCCTCCACCGGCGGCCAACTTGCTTTGTCAACATTTGGGTCAGCTGATTATCACTTGTGCCTGCTATTTCCTGTTTTCAAATTAAAAGTCTCAGTGGAGCTGCTGACGCGCACTTTTAATCGTCAAACCTCCTTTATGGGAACTAGAAAGGTGAGGTCACTGACAAACTGAAGCATTGAGAATTAGCCGCAGGTAGCTAACATAAATACCTGTGTAGTTGAAAAGCAGTCAACGCCATAACTTTAAGCGCTAATGTTTTATTTACTCATTTATTCATTAATGTATTTATTTATTGCCTATGCCATGTCTACACCATGGCTACACCATGGCTACAACACTATTAACAGCTGTAAATACTAATTATTATTACACGGTTTGACGCTATCCTAGCTAGCTTGAAACGATACCGGAAGTTACGGAAGCGGAAGCTCTTGCTCAAATTGAAACATTTGAATGCGCGCTTAAAGTTGGTTTCCATGGTTACATCCAGATTTAACACAACGATTTATTTAAAATTATTATACGCAAAATGAGCACATACCTTTAAAGAGTACCACATTTGAAACGCTGTATTATATATAAAAATAAAATAAAATAAAATAAAATATTAACTTATGTTTCTAACTCTAACATTCAATTGAGACGTTTGCAATGAATACAAATATGCCGTTTTAATAAAAATTGTAAAAAAAAATAAAAAATGTACAAAACATGTGTTTAACACCAACATCAGAAACATAAGGCGTTGTCTCAGTATTGTTTATGGTAACTACACAGAGGCCTTTTCTGGTCTTTAAACTAAGCATAGGAACTATTGTGGGAACTGTGTTGGCTTGACCTTTGCCCCCTTACTGAACTGAATCTCCTACTCTAAAATGGAAAGCGCAAAATTTCTTTATTTTTTTTAGGCCTGTTGCACTTATAAAAATGTGTAACATATTTATGATGGAATGTTTCGGTCTTTAAAGGCACTTTTTACACCCATTTGTAAAGTATGATTTTGCGTTAAAGTCATACTCCTCTGATAGTTTTCTGATACCATCACCCAGGGCTCCAATGGGAGGGGACACTTTGAAAAGCCTGGCATGAGAAGTCTGGTTTTGTTTTCAGTTTTTTTGTTTGTAATGTCTCAGTGGTGTATGGTAGTCAGGATGGGCACCAGTGCACGCTATTATAACAGGCCCTAGTGCCAGATTTTACATCGTACCAGCTACCGTATATTTTATAGTATCGTCACATGATCAAATACAGACTTGACATTGGACAGCATCAACATACATATTACCTAGCAATCATCACTGCAATTCTGTATATGACAAAAACAACAAATAAAATTAGAAGTTATTCATTAAATTGAGTTTTTTTATAGTTTTCATAATTTCTGTAAAATGAACATATAATTTTGTTATATTTTGCTACTTTGCTTCTTCACAAAAGAAAACAAAACAGACACTGATGTAGATGGGTTGGCCTTCTCGAGGACTTATATAGCTTGTGACAGCAATTGTAGTTGAATGTGAGTTCTCCCTTGAACAGGCGTATATCTAAGGTGGCAAGTTGAATCGCTCATACGACCCATTCTCTGCTCAAGAAAGAGCAGACCCTCCAACAACTCTCTCTACAGGCCACCCACCCCATGGGCCCCAGTGCAATCGCACTGCCTGCACTGTCTATGTTTACACCCCTGTAATGTCTAAGTAATTGTGCCATAACTAAATTAAAATTAGCTGAATAAATCAGTAACACCTTTTACACAGCCCCTCAACGTCAACCGTGGTAGTAACAGCCGGCAGGATGGGATCCTGGGCTGCACATTCACTACACTTTATAGGCAAATATTGTACTTTTTAAGTCCACAACATTTAGTTGACAGCTGTAGTCACTTTGCTGATTAGGATTTGTATATGCAAAAACTGAAAATGAGCTTATTAGATATGAAGCTTTGTGAAACCACCAGTATGTCAACCAGGTTTAAAAAAAATGAAAAAGCCTCACCTCAACTAGCTGCGACAGAAACGCTGTCTAAATGTTTTGAATAACATTTTTCTGATGGTAATTTTGTGTGTTCACAAACATTTTGAATGCATTGGGTATTTTCTCTTTCATTTACAATGTGTTATTGCTACCTTCAGTTTCCTAGCCGGTACAAATCCAAATATATAAAGGTGAAACCAAGGGTTGGGGTGTTTCATAATTAGTGTCTTTCTTTTTGAAAGCCCTGAAATGCATGAAAATAATTAGTTTTTATATTTTTTTATGCACTTTTTTTTTTTTTTTTACATTTTAATTCTTCAATCTCGTTGTCTGTTTGAATTTATCGTGTTTTTTCTAAATACATATAAATGTAGGATAAACTGATCAATAAAAAAAATAAAAATAAAAATTCTTAGCTGGTTTGAAACAGAACCGGAAGTGTTAAACGGAAGTGGTAGTAGAAACCATTTGTTTAGAAAATAAAAGCCTCTTCTCGAGCGCGCGACAGCGTTGAAGTTGGTTTCCATGGTTACACATAGATTTAACATCACGCAGCAACCATAAAGTACCAGCGAAGAGTGTAAAAGTAATGTTGCTAATATAACAGCTCATGTCAGAGCTTTGGGCGACACGATGGACACTCCGGAACAGAGACACAACGAGACGGTAAACAACAAATGTTTGTTAAAACAATAGGAAAGTAGCGAGCTAACATTAGCCACAAGTTACAACTAACGTTAGCTTACAGCAGCGTTTGATACTCAACTGTTTGACGTTAGCTGGCTAGCTGTGTTTTCAATAATGTTAGCGTATCTTATATAACACAACCAGAGTAGGGAACATGGTTAATAAGTTGTGATAACGTTAATATTTAATATTATTTTTATACCATAGAATTGAGACCAATTTGTTGGACTCTAAAGTTTAATTTTAATTTTTCTTGTTTCTTTCTTAAGGTAAGATGCTCTCGAAGAGCACCTGCAATTGTTATGATTAATTTATTATTATTATTATTATTATTATTATTATTATTATTTTCATTTAGCTAAATAAGCGTCATTCCCAGGCTGGAACTAGTGCTGAAAACTAATCCTCCTTGTTTTGTAGGTCGGCATCCTTCCAGAAGACTGAAATGTTTTGGTATTGAATATTAATCAAATTTGTCCATCAGCAGGCAGAGGAGCAGAGTTTATTTCCCACTGCAGTGTCAGAAGAGGAGCTGGATGAGGCCAGGAGAAAAAGCACTTTCAAGCAGCTTTTTGGCTCCAGAAAAATCCTTCTGGCACCAGGAGAGAAACGCCCTCAAAGACCAGAGCTGCAGGGGAGCCTCATCATCCAGAGCAAGGCTGCAGAACAGTGAGAGACATGAGTTAAATAAAGGAGTGAATGAAAGCTACTTTAGCATCACTTTCAGTTTGTGTTGTGAATTTACACTGCAGTATTCTGATTCAGGAGTTAATGAAATGGAGTTAGAAATATTGAATACAGTATCCATATAATTACATACCAAAAAAAGAGACATGAAAGGGCAACACTGTTAATTTTTGCAAGGTCCCTTTTTTGAAAGACTTTGCTAACCATTTCTTCTCTCCACTTGAGTCAGTTCAGAGATACTGGAAGTTTATTCCATTAAATCCCAGCCGTATATAAAAAGGTGTTTTTGCCCATTGAACTTTTAAATCTAAAAAGACTAAATTCTGTTGAGCTGCATCTTGTTGAATAGTTATGATTGTGTCTGAGGCGATTACAGTAGTTGGACAGTAGTTGGGAACCTCATATTAAACAAATTTTTTATTGTCAGGAAGGGAATTAAGTTGTAGAACGTGCTGATTCAAGATAGGTATGTGAAGGTAATTTTAACACAACTCTGATTAACTTGTGGGCAGTCTGGCCACATAATCTAAATGATATTGAACTAATGCTCCGGCTTTCATCGCCATGGCCTCCCCTGATAGATGTTTATCTAATGTTCATCAAATAGTTCACTGTGTCTTACCTTAATCTTCACCTCTGGGGTGTTTCCTAGTTTTATTCTGGAGCCAAAAAAGATGGCCTCTATTTTTCCTAAATGAAGAGACAGCTTATTATCAGACAGCCAAGTCCCAACATTTTGAAGCTCTTCACTCAGACACTTTTCAACAACTGCTAAATCTTTATGAGACACCAGAGCCGCTAAATCGTCCACATAGAGAAATAGGTCAGTTGAACAGCATGCCTTCATATCATTAATGTATAATAGGAAAAAGAAGTGGCCCTCTCACACTCCCTTGAGGGACACCACAACTTATAGTATTAGCATTGGAAAATGTCTCATTGGCAAACCAAATGTGGGGGATCTTTACTGAAAATATGTGCAACAGTTGGAACATAAAATTGTGTCGATGCTTTTTCAGGGTTGAACAATGCCTTTGATTGTTTGCTTTGCAGTCACAGAAATGGAGTCGAGGCAATGGGAAAGTCCCAGTTTGAGAAGGCTGTGGTTTGCTTCTCCAAAGCCATCACACTGCAGCCAGAACAGGTGCTGCACTATTATAATAATTATTACTCTGTTATATACTATATTTTTTGTTTGGGTTTCTGATTCATGTTTAATAATCTGATTCTGATGATAATGTTTAGAGTAATGCTTTATTTTAGCAAAAATCAGATTACTTGTGACACATATGTACTACCCAACTGGTGTTTTCAGTGTTTCAGACTCACTGTCTGTATTTTTTTACCCTGATAACCTCTGCTGTGTTTTAGACTCAGCTGTGTGTGAGCCAAGGAGAAGCCTACCTGCAGCTGTGTGACTTCCAGTCAGCAGCAGCCTGTTACAAACGAGCCTCGCTCCTGGAGCCCGGGGCCTTCAGCACCCGCTTGGCCTTCATCTACAACCTCCAGGTCTCCACAACACTCCTCTGTTCCACCTGGGGTTTATTTCTACTGTTACATGTACATTTAAGTGTGTGTTTATCCACCACGACTCAGAGTAAACACACAACAGTTGAAGATGAAAGTTGAAACACTGCTGAACTATGACCACAGATATGGAAACATATTCTGTGATGTTAAGACAATAGACATGATACGTAATGTTTTCATCAGTAACCTTCTTACTTATATCACATTGAAACAGACAGACCTGACGATGATGTGATTTGAACTTGTCAGTTGATAAATCACATTCTTTAGTCCAAGTAAATAAGTGACTTTATTCTAATAGAAATAAAAAGTTTTGGGTTAAAGCTACAGTTGGTAACCTTTATGCACCCATAATAAAACTCTACACTAAACATTAAATCATTTAATGTTGATCTCTCTGTTTCCTGTTGTCCTCAGGGCCAGTGTTTGTTTGACCGAGGTCTTTTTGTAGAGGCTCTTGATGCCTTCAACAAAGCTGCTGAGGTGAAGCCCGACTGCAGGGCCTACAAGGTCAGAAGGTCAGCAACCTACGTACGAAGATTTAGTTTAAAATTGTGCCTTTGTGCTTAGATTTACTAACAATAATCTTGCAATAATATCCTGCTTTTCACACTGTCTGTAGATGTAAGTGATGTAATATACACACATTGTTCATGAATGTATTTGGTACCTTGTGTCCCAGCCTGGACTGTCTGACAGCTGCAGGTCACCACACTGAATGTCTGAAGCTGGTGAATGACTGGATGCAGTCAGAGGCTCCCACCTCAGATCTGTACATCATCAGAGCCCGACTGCACAAACTACTCAACCAGGTTACAGCTGCAGACACCTCTGACACTTCACATACCTAAAACCAGCAGCCTCATATACACTGTACATCTCAGGCAGTGAGCTGATGCTGTAGAGAGTCAAGGGGAAAATGGGATAATAGGGTCCACATTGAAAACTACAGATGTTTCGGTTTCAATAGGAGAGTTAAATGATGTTAAACCTGTCAGTCCACAGCCCTGCAAGGCCACAGACAACAGAAGTAACGAAGAGCTTTGTATCAGAACTTTAAATCTTTTGTTTCTTCTTCTGACAAAGAAACTGCAGAAAAAGAAAACGTATGTCAATATCGAACACATTTACACAGTTCACATGGTTTTTACAGTTGCAGCTAAAAAAACAAAGGTCTTATAAAGACATTTATAAGCTGAATAAACAGAAGGAAAATTCAAATCAAAAGATTTTTCAAAGAAGTTGGAGCAGTGAGTAAGGATATATATTTAATACATGCTAATAATTAATCAGTGAATATGAATATTAAGACGTAGAGAGACAGAAAAGAGCGCTCATATTGTATAAAGTTACATATGTTATCTTAGATATATTGCACCTACTATAAACACACATCAAATGTTTGTGGTCAAACTCCCAGTGATTTTCTCTCCTGTCCAGACATCACAGTGTTATCAAGATGTCAGGTCGGCGTTAGTGTTGAACCCAACGTGTCCGGAGGCCCGAGTCCTGCTGCTGCAGCTGCAGGAGGCCAGTGAACGGGCCAGACAAAAGGCTGTGGACCGAGCTTTGACCGGCCAGCTGCCTGAGGCCCTCTGCATGATCAACATCGCTCTGGAGAACTGCCCCCGGGACGCACGCCTCTACCTGTTCAGGTGAGTCCAGCTAATATGAAAGACTCAGACAAGAGAGAAATAGAATAAATAATCTCTCAGGTTACACAGGTGCTGTAAAGTCAACAAAATGTACAACTTGACATATTAATGATACAACAACCCGCATGTTTTTGGACTGTGGGGGGAAACCAAGGCAAACAGATGTGGAGAGAACATACTAATGTATAGATAATCATTATCAAGTATAAAAATGAGAAAAACATGCCAGCTATATGTTCATGTTTAGTGTTAATTACATTTATTTAAGTTCAAATTAAGTCTACTCTCTCCATCAGAGGGATTCTGTACCGACGCCTGAAAGACTTCACAGCAGCCATTGAGGATCTGGTCCAGGCTGTGGAGCTGAGTGAGGAGGAGGGGGAGAGGGAGGAGGTCAGAGGTCAGGCGGAGGCCAGAGATGAGAAGGATGAGCGTGACTCTCTGGAAAAGGAGGTGAACTTTCAGCTGGTTCTCACCTACAATGATTTTGCTGTTCAGTGCTTCAGCAGAGGGCTCTACGCTGAGGCCACTCTGCTTCTCAACAAGGCCATCGAGGAGGAGAAGGGCCAGCCGGGCCTGTACCTGAACCGAGGAGGTGAGTGAGTGAGTGTGTGTGTGTGTGTGTGTGTGTGTGTGTGTGTGTGAGAGAGAGCATCTGTTTCTTTGCTTTGAACCCAAACACAATCATTTTGTGTATATACACAACTCTGTGAATCTGATCATCATCTGCTGATCTTCTTACAGTGACTTATGTTACTAAGGACTCAGTAATGTAATTTTTATTTGCTTGCCAACTGAACCCAAGCAGTGTTAATTTTGGTACTCCTAAACACAGGAGTGCAGAATTGACTGGTAACTTTATCAGCTAGTTAACTGACAGAAGATTTTTGTAACTGATTAATCGGTTCTCGCTTCTCATTCGTGTTGACTTGTTGACAGGTGTAAATAAATAATAAAATAATAAAGTGAATGATGGCTACATTCCAGTTACCTGCGTTGGTCTCTGGCACTGTGCGCGCTGCCTCACTGCAACACTTAAACAGAGCAGAGCCATCGTTAATATCATCAGTAGCACCTGTGTGTTCCTGCTGTGACAGGTCGAAACGTCTGCTGTGAAAAGCCTGTTTCACACATTTGGTGTTTTGAACTGTTGGTTGGACAAAACAAGGTAAAGAAGTCACCTTTTAGCCTGCTTGCACACCTGACCTGTGAAATTACAGATTGTGTTAACTAAATGTTGAACTACATTGGTTGGAAGGATCCATTTAATATCTTTATGTGTGTGTCAGATTGCTTCTTCAAGCAGGGTGAGTGGTGTTTTTCTCTGGCCGACTACCAGCAGGCTGAGGAGATGATGCAGCCCGATGACCCTGCTGTCCGGCTTCGCCTCGCTGTCCTCCACAACACGATGGGCTGTATCAGCTTCCAGGACGGGTCAGACCCTCATTAACGCACCCAAATTAACAACCACACTAACACACTCTGGAGAGAAGGGTTATCAATTCCTTTTTAGAGGCTTTATTTGTGAGTGTGTGTGTGTGTGTGTGTGTCTGCAGGCGTCTCCAGGAGGCAGCTGACATGTTTTCTCTGGCCATCCAGTACAACCCCACAGCCAGTCAGTACTATGAGAACAGATCCAAGGCCTTCCAGAAACTCCTCAACTCGGAGGAAGCCGGACGGGACTTCATCTGCACACTGATCCTGGATCCCACCAACGAGGAGGTCAGAGCGTCATCTTACCGTTTAGATCAACTGACACTTTTTTCGAGAGGATTTTGGTCTAAAAAAACGTTGAATAAACTCTTGATTTAATGAGATTAACTCAATTTTACCTTTTCAATGTCATTTTAGGTCTGTCAGTGAATACAACGCACCAATATGAAGATGCTGCTGTGATAGATTTAACAGTATTACTGTGTAGTTTTTTCTCTATATTGTGGATTTTAAGTAAAAGCTGTGTGTGCTCCTCTCTCATAAAATGCATTCAGTTGATGAGAAGCAGTGTCTGAGTATAACGCAGATTTTAGGGCTTAATTACAGACAAACTTCTTTACTTTACAGTGATGCAATTAAGATGTAATTTATCGTCATGTTTCAGTACTCTTTGCACTCTGCACAAATGCAACATAGACAGAATCACAATGTTTGCCTACAATAACTTCTCAGTAGAAAGCCAACATGTCATGTACATAAAATGAAACAGAATATTTTCACTGCTGTCACACAGCGTTTTCCGACAGGGAACTGAAGCCATTATCTCCAAGTCAAAAAAAACAAAAAACAAAACAGTAATTTTACTTGGCAGAACACAGGAGTTGCTGGTCTACCGCTGCCTCCAACAGTCAGTGTGTAAGGTAAAGCGGTAAAAATAATCTAAATATAGCATACACTTAAAATGAAATATTTGTTTTAGGTGGCTATAATGTGTTTTGCTGCGGGCCTGTCCACAGCAGTACATTGTTTAGCTCAGATTTGGTTTGTCAAAGACGCTAGTGAAGCATCACAGTGCATAAAATAAGCAAAGCAGAAATGTCAGATTGGTCGGACCACTTTGCTTAACTACAGTAGATACCTTTAAACGTCACAGTCACAGCTGAAAATGACAAATGAAATAAACAAGTTTGAAGATTATCGAAAGTCCAGAATATGCCTTTGCATATGATGTCATACAATGGTGCGCAGTCAAAAAGCAGGGCAGGCAACTGGAGGCAGAGACTATCAACACTGCACAAATGACTACGATGTGCTCCGTTAACGGCTGTTCCAGTTGATCAAAATAGGAAAATACAAAGGCCACTTTAAGTCCTGAAAATAGGAGGATGTAAAGGGAAGATGTAACAAAAACAGTCTCTGAGAAACAGCAGCATATGTGGATCAATATCTGTGTCAATCCGTCTTCAATCTGGACGTTTACATTCAAGCATTGTTTTAAACATGCTTCGAATTGGATGGAATTAAAATGTCCTGTCACAACTTCTCTGTGTTTTTAGTCACGACCCAGATTTTTAACAGCGTTTCATTAGACCTCTGGGAATGGTTGACCTTGTACTGTACGTGTACATGTGCTTGACCAATAATTCTGATTCTGATTCTGCATATTGATCAGTCAGGTCTAGACATTATTCCACTAATGATCCTCTCAGAAAACAGTAAAGTTGTTATTAATATTTCCATAGCATGTTGTGGCAAAAAGTAGTAAATTGTGTGTGTCTGTGTTTGTTTTTGTAGGTGCCTCCTATGCTCATGAATCTGTTCCCTGGCAGCAGTGTGTCTGATGTTTTGTCCAGTCCAGCAGGACAAGCAGTCAGAGTTCAGCTGATGGAAACCATCCAGGCCTACAGCTCCTCCTCCGACCAACAAAGGTCAGCAACACAAAAATTCTCTGCGAGGCTTGGACACACCTGACGGATGTAAGGACAAATGCGTTGGTGCTTAATATGTTATAAAGAACTAACAGTCTTCATAGTGTACTCAGAGTAGATGAGATTGCTGCTGGTGCAAACTGACCAGCTACATCCTCACTAATTCACCTCTACATGGTGTTACTCTCTCATTTACTGTGAGTGCCTCCAGTCGAGCAGCAGTACACCAAATGAGAGATTTTTCTCTAACAACCTCCCCACACTGGATATGTGGCAAAAAAAGTAGAACCAATAAATGATACTCACACTGTGTAAAATAGTCACGAATGACTGAGATGTTTTTATCCACAGCTCATTGTCAAAGCGTACAGATACAACTGCTCCTTGTTTTTGCAAATAAGGACCACATGTAGAGCTTGTACATGTGGAAAAGTGTGTCCTGTGTTTTTATGTGTTCTTAGACTGAGTGAGAGGCTTCAGAAGATGACTCTGACCAATGGGAACACAGTGAGCCAATCAGAAGCTCCACCTGGCGCAGGACAGGAGCTGAAGCTGAAGCTGTGTGTCGACCAACAGGAGATGCAGATAAATGTGAAGAGCCTTCTGCAGGTGCTGAGAGGAACATTTTAAATGAATACACAAACAAAAGCCAGTTACAAAGGTCTAATCATTTAAATACAAAACTAATATCGTTTAGAACAACTGACCAAGACACTTGTATAACTGGACAGAAAATATTCAGAAACAGAAATCACTGACAGTTCTTTCAACATCAGAGTGAAACCATACAAAGCAATGGACCTTTCTCACAGTAGATGCCTTGACAGTGTCCCAGTGACTGACAGTCAGTATATATATGTTGACATGCACAGTTAAGTGAAGCTAAGGCTATATCACAACTAGGACATTTAACTGGCCTACTGTCCTTGTCCCAGTATACAAGCACGTGAGGGGAATCCATTTATTGAGCCAAGTATGTGCGACTCCTCTACGATAGGTGGAGATATGCCCCCTTTCAGCTTGTTAGTATTGGACCTTTTTCCTGTTGACCTATTACTTCACAGACCAAACAATGGACAAACAAGTTAGCTACTGTTAGCTAGCTGCTAACTGGTACCATGGTGGACAACTTTACAGCTCTGTACATTTGGTCCGTCCAAAAAGTCACGGCTCTGGATGTAGATTTCTCCATGTTGTTACCGGCTTCTTCTTCTCTTACACATTTAATGCTGTTGGACTTTTGGGTCAAAGCCCGGGGCGGAAACTGTGGAGCATGCTCAGAGCGCCTCGGCCAGTTTGGGTCTGATTGACTGTATACATGCAGGAGGAATTCACCTATCTGGGTGTGTTAGTCTGACTTTGAGAAATTCAATTTGGTACGATTTCAGTTGGACTCCCATGTTTACATCAATTTTAAAAGTCTGTTTTTAGTTGAACTGACACAATAAATCGATTTTCTCTAATGTCATGTAAACGCACTGACTGTGTCAGCATTAACAACACCAGGAACCTGACATCAAAGCAGCTAAATACAATTCAGCCATCACTCATGTCATTATTTACACCTGTTCCTTTCCTATTGCAGCTAGTCAAAATGTCCTCCATCCCATCCTTTCTATACATGAGTAATATGATAAACACAAGCTACAGCATATTTGATACCTTTGTTTGTAAACCTTTAAATAGCTGCAACATGGTTTCATACAACACGAGGGCCCATTTCACCAAGTTTGCAACATGACATAATTTCCTCTGGTGTTTATTGTGACACATTTCATCAAACTAATGTCATACAAGACTGTGACGCAGAGACGATCATGTGAGAGCCCTGTCAGGCTGCATCCACAGTAAGGTCTTTTTATTTCAAAATGAAAACACTCTCTGTACACACATTTTAGCATGGTTTCAGATAAAATCTCCGTCCACACTAACAGGCTGGAATCACATATCCATGACCATTCATGTACACTGGGCATGCATGTGCCTATGTTAACAGGAAACAGATTGTGTACTTTGCGGTTTGTTGCTTATTTACAGAAAATACTGCGGAGATGATGAAAAATAAGACTGGAGATTTTTCTTTGCTTGTGTCGACGACGAGGTGGAACTATTAGTCAAAGTAACACACGAGTATAAGGTGGTCAAGGCGGCAGGAGACAGATTGGGAGTCGTTGCAAAGCAAATACGGTGACATAACAGAGCGGCACTGGAAGCAGTATCCATCGCAGGAGGAAGTCATGGCGATGGGAAAGGAGTACCCACACAGGAGGATAATATCACAGAAGGTACAGTACGTAGACTTAGCTGAATGTTTTGACTTGACACGCCATGACTGATAGAACCTATTGGGCAGCGAACGTTGGTGGCTACTTCATCATTTCCAAAAGTTTTCAAACTAAGATGCAGTCAACATCATTTTCAAAAGTCTCTCTTTAAGTGGTTCTAAAATACTGGAGAAGTGTGGAGGCACAAATGAAGTAATAATAATAAATAATTAATTCCATGTTCAAAACAAAAACGTATTTGTTTTAGATGTAGCCTCAGACTCACAAAGAGCAATAGTTAATCATGAAATGTGATGGTGACACCATTTGCATCCTGAGTATATCGTATTTGCATTGCGTTGTCTTCAACTCTTTTTTTTTTTTTGGACAAATATATTCTAAAAGCAAACTGACTACAGAAACACAAACACAATAGGGTCATATTTCATGTTATTTCCCACAGCAGCAGCTACAGAGCTGATACTGAGGAGGTGTGAAACGTCCGGCAGTGTTGTCATCATGCTGAACCACAGCTGTTCTTCTGTGTTGACTGTGGCAGGTTGAGGAAGTGGTTCGATCATTTCACCATGACCGTCCGGCTCCAAAGCACCACACTGAACCACGCCAAGCCACACACCACCCAACACCACCACCATCCACACAGGGGAACACCACCAGTCTGCCTTTAAGAGGTCGCACTACAACAAGAGATTTGGGCTCCACATCTCAGAAGTGATTGTGGAGTTACTCGCGGTGGGAAGTGAACAGTTAAATATGTTGTTCTCTGCAGCATCAGAATGCTGAGTTTTATTTGAATTAGAAGAGACTCGTTCTGAGAGAAGAGAATATTTATTTACATGTGCACATAAGTATGTGAAATGTGAAAAGTCTTTGGTGATTAGACCCCATCATGATGTCATATATTCCAGGAGGGTGGTAAAAACGCAGAAGATTAAGGAACTCCCCTATGGAGTCTAGGCGCTGGTGGTGGTGATGAGATGAGATTAAGAAGGAGAAGAGGAAGATATGGATGTGAAGAGGAGTGGGCTGTTGATGAGCTCATCTTTGGCTTTGGATGAGGTGACTGGAGGTGAATGGGGTGGGGGAAGGCCCGACAATTCCACCTGGAATGACAGCTGACCAGAGCAGAGAGGAGAACAGATTTAAAGTTTGGCAGCAGCAACATGAATAGCTGAAGGAGATGGTGGCAAAGTTTGATTGGCTAACTGAGAGCGGGACCATCCATTGTCAGCTGATTGGAGCAAGTAGTGGGAGTGGGATAGAGAGAGAACTGTGAATGGTTACAGCATAAAGAAAGTCTTTCTGATCGAACTTTTTGAACTCTTTGTCTCTACAAAAATACAACCACTCAAACTGAAGAGAAAAATCGTTCAGCAAAAGAAACACACTCTTTTCATGTGAACTAACTTTAAAAATAACCACGTTACATCTGCATGATCCTAAATTTCATCAGACAGTAAAAGAGAATAATAAGGCAGGCTGTGGAGAGTAAATCAACAGTGGCAACACTTCTCTGGTATTATCCTTTACTTAGCATGTTATTATGGACTGTAGTCCAATAGGTGGCAGCACAGGCACAAGTTTAGCATGATGGTGTTTCTCAGGATGCTCTACTACTCTGTGTAATCAGTGACATCTCATTTTATATATGACGAGATCTAAATGTTTGAGTACTGGCTGTGCAACAACATCTTCATCTCTTACATTTCTTCTCTTATGTGCTCTCTGTTATATGTTTTATGTCTTTATGTCTCTTTTCTTGAGTAGTAAGAAAGTGCATACATGTTCATGAGCATGAATAACATTAAATTAGTGATAGTTTATGTTCTCTGAAGCCAAGCAGTGTCTGACCTGAGGGTTGTGATGTCCCTCAGGTTGTGTTATGAGGGAACTTGACCCTCTGTAGATTCACCACAAACTAAATCTGTGTCAGTCAAAAAGGATAGTACATTTTCAGACAATGAAGTTGTCTTACCCAGCCTAACCACGCAGCGTCTGATGATCTGAGCCAGCTCGAACTAGCTTGTACGATGTGTTGTGTGACCACATTTAAAGCCAAAGTGGTTTAGGCCTGTTTCAAAAGGCCACGCTAAAAGGCCGGGCTTAAAGTCAGCCAGCACAGAGACGGGCGAGAGACACTGTAAATCGTACAAATGTGGATACTGGCACTCACCTTTTGTCCTCCACAGAGGCCTTCACAATGTTGCGCTCAGCTGTGCAGATGCAAAGTGACAGACGTAGTTGTGTGGAGTGCTGCATAGTGTGTATGTGGAAGGTGGGGGTCAGACACAGTTACATGTCAAGCACTTCATTTAGAGTGTAGGCCTTGAAGATGCATTTTGATGTAGTACGCATACATATCTTATCTTACTATATGATGACAAAAACTGTTTGTGTGTGTGTGTGTGTGTGTGTGTGTGTGTGTGTCTGTTCCATGTTTTTCTCCTCACTGACTTGGTCAATCCATGTGAAATTTGGCACAGTGGTAGAGGGTCATGGGAGGATGAGAATGAAGCAATATTACATCAATTGGCCAAAGGGGGGCGCTATAGCAACCTATTGAAATGTCAAACTTTGAATGGGCATATCTCATGCCCCGTATGTCGTACAGACATGAAACTTTGCACAGAGATGCCTCTCCTCATGAGGAACACATTTGCCTCAAGAACCCATAACTTCCGCTTATATAGATTTTCCGCCATTTTGAATTGTTTGAAAAACACTTCAAATGGATCTCTTCCTAGGAAGTTTGAGCGATCTGCATGAAACTGGGTGAACATAATCTAGGGACCAATATCTAAAGTTCCCTCTTGGCAAAAGTTGGAAAACTTACTAAAACTGAGCTTCTATAAGGCAATGAATATTGCGGAGGGCGTGGCTCATCACATAAAGGTGTATAACATCTCAAGGGTTTCACCCATCACCACGCAACTTTGTAGGCATATGACCACACATAATCTGAGGGGACCCCTCCATTATTGATCCCATCAAACAAAATGGGGGCGCTAGAGAGCTCATTTCTTATCTAGGCCTAACCGCCATATGGATTTTTACTAAACTTGGTAGATATGTAGAACAGGACGCCTCAAGGTGACTGGAGAAATTTAACTCTAATTGGCAACTGGGTGGCGCCAATACCATATTACCACATAAAGCCTTCATCTGCACGGGACTACATACAAACTACTTGCCTTTATTCTTATCTGTAATGCTTGAATAAAAAAAGATGAATTATGAAGTAATAAGCCTTAAATTTAGTTAGAAATGATCTTGAAAAGGTCTTTAAAGCGTTACATGTAAGTTTCAGGTACCTGCAGACACCCTGCTGTGGCTTTCTCAGTAAATAAGCAATGAGTTTGCTGAGCATTGTGGGAGAGTGAGCCGTGCTTTGTGGGAATCATCTGACTTTAGATTTTTGTTTAGTTTAAGCTGTCCAAAAAGCACTGCACAATGTGTCTCTGTGTGATTTGACAAAATAATCTGAATTCAAGGTTCGCTTACTTGCTTTTTCAGCACACTGTTACCAGAACTCCTCCAAGAGCACAGAGCTGAATATTAGTTGTGCAAAACTTTTTTTCCATTGTCTGGTGTGCTCTCTGTTATTATACATCCATTGTTTTCCTTTGTTCAAGGTTTGACTGGTGCTCTCATAAAGATATACTATGCAGTATTTTCTTAAACAACAACAGTGTGTGGCAGTGTATTTCTCTGCAGAGACTCTGCCCTCTGTCTAGATTTTCTTATTTTCCTCCACCCCCACAACGCTCACATTAGGTTGGGGCTTTATAAAAGGTAGCGACCATGGGTCTCATTTGGAAAACAAAGCGTAGCATCCATACTAGAAATGTATGTAAGAAACAAAAGACAAAAATGGTGTTTTCTGCAATCAGGCTCCACCTCACCATCTGTGTCGCCAATTTCCCGTCTCCAAAATGTTCTTAAGCATGGGTCAAAGTTCCTCGCAAGTCCGTTTTTATACATCACAACTTTTGTGTGGGAAGTGGCGAACGCCTTTCTCAGGCCTCATTTTGTGCGTACACAATGTTTATAAATGAGAGCCCTGGTGACAGACTGTGAGCAGCAGGTGCCCAAGAGACACAGCTGACTGTGGAGGCTAAACTAAAACCTAGTCTTTTGTTATTCATGCATACTGTCATTTTAAAGAATACACCTCAGTTTCTTGACTAGTATAGGGGTTTTTGTCATCAGTATGTGACACGTCGAGTGAGCACTGGTCTTCTGGTGGCACCAAGTCCACGTACAAATTCTATGATGAGAAGTGTTGTTTATAGAGGTGTCTCTACTGGGAGTGTGCTCCCTACCAGCATTAACAGATTAATATTAAATATTCCTTCAAGAAGTCACTAAAACTAAAATTGATGAATCACATGTAAACTTTGTTATGGCAGTTTGTGACAATTTTATTTTTTACTCATTTTTTTGCTTTAATTTTGGACTGACATTGAATGATAACGTCTCATTGATACTGTGTGATTTTAAATTGATGTATTTTTAATGTTGTTTTGTGAGAGGCCCCCAGGAAGTCTAGCAACCACTTTGTGAAAGCTAATGGCCATCCGAGAAAACACAAGTCTAGTGAGGCAAAACACCAAATGAGAGCGGATCTGTGTCTGGCTTTTACAGTCACTTTTGCTGACGAGCGTGTTTGCAAACAGCGGCCAACAGCTATGGATAGTATACCTTTAATTACATCATCTTGATGTGTCCTCTTCTGTAGTGGCACCTGATAGGAGAAATTAGCGCCACCTACTGTAAATCTTGATGAACTAACTCCCTGTATTATCATAACAGTACTGAATGGAAAAGAACATCAGTTTACATTTTGTTTTGCAGATTTAGTAATGACTCTGATCGTCTCACTGGTCACAGTCACCATTCAGATCGTTTACATTAGAGAAAATTGATTTATTGTGTCAGTCCAACCAAAACCGGACTTTTAAAATCATGTAAACATGTTAGTCTAATTGTACTAAATGGAATTTTTCAAAGTCAGACTAACACACCCAAACACACCCCAAGCTGGCCGAGGCGCTCTGAGCATGCTTCACAGTTTCCGCCCCGGGCTTTGACCCAGAAGTCCAATAGCATTAAATGTGTAAGAGAAGAAGAAGCCGG